TGCATTGGTGCGTGCCCGGGATCCGAACCCAGGCTGCCAGTAGTGGAGCGCACGCACTTAACCGCTAAGCCACTGGGCCGGCCCACAGCAAGTTTTTCTTTAAGATGCATAAAATAATGGTGCTTCTTATAACTTACAATTTTATAAATATAATATGCATGTGAAAATAGTTGCTGGGTTTGTGTGGTGGGAATAGAGCTGACTGGCTTTTCTTTTTCTGTATATATTAAGCATGTATTAGGGTTCTTCAGAAAAATAGAACCAATAGGAGATATATATGTGTGTTTATATATCTATCTCATATACTCTCTATATATGAGAAGATTTGTTATAGAATTGGCTCACAAGATTATGGAGGCTGAAATGTCTCATGCCCTTGCTGTCTGCAAGCTGGAGAACCAGGAAAGCCAGTGGTGTAATTCAGTCCAAGTCTGAAGGCCTGAGAACAAGAGTCCCAATGTCGCAGGACAGGAGGAGGTGGATGTCCCATCTCAAGCAAAAAGAGCAAATTTGTCCTTCCTTGACCTTTTTGTTCTATTCAGGCCCTCAAGGGATTGGATGATGCCCCTCCACATTGGTGAGAGTGATCTTCTTTACTCAGTCTACCAATTCAAATGCTCTCTCTTCTGGAAACACCCTCACAGACACAGATACCTGCTAGCTATCTGGGCATCCCTTAGCCCAGTCACGTTGACACATAAAATTAATCCTCACAAAACATTTTGTAATATTGCTATAAAATGTTGATACTAAACATTTTTTTAAAAATCTGAAACACCTAATTTGATTCTTAGCAAGATCCAATTTTGGTGTACCTGCTTTTCCTAATATCTAAGTTAACATCAGACCCAGGAGTGCTTTAAAAAGGAATTGACCAAGGGTTAAAGGAAAATTAAGGACAAAATGGGAACCTAATTTTGCAAAATGTTACAAAAGGGGAAGTTTAAAAGAATTACATGGAAACTAAACTAAGAATAAATTATAATATTTCACAACTTCTTGTTTCAGGATACTTGAATTTTTCTCTTTTTAAAAATTTTGTAAAGATTTTACCATTTTGTGATATTTTTAAACATACAGGAAAATATAGAAAATAATGAAACAGATATCCATCTCTCAGATTTATTCAATGTTAATTTTATTCAATGTTAATTTTTGTCATTTCTAATTTATTTTAAAGAAATTAAGAGTATAAAGCCCCACTTAGCCATTTTTCCTCCCTTCTAGGGATAACCACTATCTTGAAATTGATGCCTATCATTCCTATAGTTATTTTTTCTTTTACTACACTTGTGCATGTATATGTATATATGTGTGTGTACATAGTAGACTGTAACATTTAGTGTCTTTTAAAATTTTACACAAGTGGTATCATTGTATATATTCTCTGGTGACTGTGTAACAATATTAGATTTTTGATAAATAAAGATTCTTTCATTTTAACTGTTGTATAGTTTTCCATTGTTTATTCATGAATCCACAATTTATCATTATCCTACTGAAGAGCAGTTAGTTTGTTTCCACTTTTTTGCTATTTAAAAAATTTTCCCCAATAAACATCTTTGTATATGTCTCCTTGGGCATATGTTTTAAGAGTTTTTCTTTATCCAAAGTTTAGATAGAAACCTAAAAATGGAATTGCTGGGTTGTAGGGTCCATGATTCTTCAACTTTACTAAGCAATGCTGAATTGCACATTCCTACCAATAACTCATATATGAGTTCCTATTTTAGCGTATCCATGTCAACACTTGGTGTTATTAGACTCTAAAAATTTAGACAATCTGTCATTTATAAATGGTATTATTGTTTTAATTTGGAATTCAGTGATTACTAGTGAGGTTGAGGTTGTTTCACGTGGATTTTTGCCATTTGGTTTTCCTTTCTTTATAGCCTTCTGTTTTTCTTTTTTCTTATTGATTTGTAGGGGGTCTTTATATATATTCTGGATACCAATTCTTTGTCAATTACTTATATTACAAATATCTCCACAGATAGGCAATGCTTTCTCTGTGATAAACTACATTCCCATATATACCTTGGATCTGGGAATTCTCCAAACCAGTCCTGGATCCTTTTTTTAAAAAAATAGACTATATTTTAGAGCAGTTTTAGGTTCACAGAAAAATTGAGCAGAATGTACAGAGAGTTCCCATATACCCTTGCCCACCCCCTCACCCCAAGCGTAACCTCCCTCATTATCAACATCCTCCACCAGAGTGGTACATTTGTTACAGTTGATGAACCTACATTGACACATCATTATCACCACAAGTCCATAGTTCACATTAGGGCTCGTCCTTGGTGTTGTACATTCTATGGGTTTGGACAATGGTATAATGACATGTATCCACCATTATAGTATCACACAGGGCAGCTTCACTGCCCTAAACATCCTCTTTGCTGTGCCTATTCATCCCTTTCTTCTCCCTAACCCCTGGCAACCACTGATCTTTTTACTAGAGTTTTGCCTTTTCCAGAATACGATAGAGTTGGAATCATAACACTATGTAGCCTTTTCAGATTGTCTTCTTTCACTTAGTAATATGCATTTAAGTTTCCTCCATGTCTTTCCATGGTTTGATAGTTCATTTCTTTTCAGTGCTATATGATAGTCCATTGTCTGAAAGTACCACAGTTTATTTATCCATTCACCTACTAAAGGACATCGTGGTTGCTCCCAAGTTTTGGCAATTATGAATAAAGCTGCTATAGACATTCATGTGCAGGTTTTTGTGTGGACATAAGTTTTCAACTCCTTCAGGTTAATACCAAGGAGAGTGATTGCTAGATCATATGGTAAGAGTATGCTTAGTTTTATAAGAAACTGCCAAACTGTGTTCCAAAGTGACTGTACCATTTTGCCGGATCCTTTTTAACAGTCTTTCCTCTAGCTTCTCTTTCCTCTCACATTTTTCTATAAGCAGCAAGAAGCTGAGTGGCAACTTCAACATTGTATTGGAAATCTAGCTAGATTATCCAGTTCTTTAGGTACATTTTCGACCTTCCATATTACTGTAAGTGACAGTGTTATTAAATGTTCTGCTACTGTATAACAAAGAACCACTTTCCTCCAGTTTCCAATAACATTTTTCTCACCTTGAAACTACTGCTGGCAGTCTCCTTAAAGGCCATCAGACTTCTAATAGTCTGTTCAAGGAACTTAAGGCTTTCACTAACACTCTGCTCAATGTCCTTCCAGCTTCCAAAGCCATGCCCACATTTTTTAGCTGTCTGTTATGGTAGTACTCCATTCGTGTTACCCAAATCTGTATTAGTTATCTGTTGCTACTTAACAAATTACTACAAAATTTAGTGGCTTAAAGCAATGCACATTATTGCACAGTTTCTATGGGTCAGGAATTTGGGGGTGGCTTAGCTGGGGCTGGAGGATCCACTTTCAAGATGGCTCATTCATATGGCTATTAGCAAAAAGCCTCAGTTCCTCTCTAGTTCTTGGTAGAAGGTCTCAGTTCCTCAAGATAGAGACCTTTTCACAGGGCTTCTTTAGTGTCCTCATGACATGACAGCTGGCTTCCTGCAGAATAAGCAGTCCAAGAGAGGGTGCAAGGAGGAGGCCACGATGTCCTTTGTGACCTAGTCCTGGGAGTCAGACACCATCATTTGGGCAATGTTCTATTCATTAGAAGCAAGTCACTAAGTATAGCCCACAGTCAAGAGGAGGGAAATTAGGCTCACTTTGGAAGGGAGGAATATTGATGAATATGTGGATATATTTTAAAACTACCACACTGCCTTTAAACTGAACAAGATGAGATACCGGATATAAAAAAACATTATAGCCCATGTTTCTGATACAATCATCTACCTTTTTGCATTCTCCACAGAAGTATTTTTTTTAACTGTAGGTTCTGATCCATAGATAAGCGGTGAAATCAACATACAGCATCTCTGAAATCGCATAGATGCAGCAGAAAGGAGGGGGCTCAAAGTTTTCTAATTTCAGATCTCTCTTTTAATCTCTGTTTTAATCTGTCCTTTAACATATGTATAGCATTTAATAGTAGAGGAATAGATTTTATAAAATTATATTTAGCTCAGTTTCATTGTGAATAGTGCCTATTTTACCACGTTGTAGATTTGTGCATTCAATACATTATCATGGTTGTTTTAAAAATTATGTATTTGTTTTTAATTTTTATGTTTTTAATATCAGTCTTGAAGTGACTGGAAGTCACTTTTTCCTTTTTAATGCAAGCGCACCTCTTTGAACTCAGCTGACTGGTCGCTCCCTTGGTGATTCAATGCACCTCCGGCTTAAGCGAGCAACTGCTGTTACCCAAGTTTTGCAAATGAGCAAATTAAGACTCGTTCTTGACTTAGATTTTATGGAAAGATCAGAACGAAGCGAGAACAGAGACTTGAAACTTTAGACCAGTGACAGGGAGGTCATAAAAATGGTAAAAATCAGAGGTAGTGATAGTGTATTATATATGACGGGAAAAAAACCCTGAAAAAATGAACTTTCCCAGTGTCCTCTACACATTTATTATTCTATTTTATCCACAGACGACATGCTAACCTTTAATGTCCCACCCAGCCTTACTAAGTCAGGTGATTTTCCTAAGACTTACAAGTTTTCTGTTGCAAGTTTTCAGATACCGGGAACTCAAAGAGGAGGCAGGTTAACGATTACAAAGGCGGAGTTTGGATTCTGACAGGTTGGCTGGAGGCCAGCGCAGAGGCTCACCAGCTGTGACCTCGGGCAAATTACTTAACCTCTCCCAGCCTCATGTTCCTCATCACGAAAACCGGGATGAGTTAGTAGAACCTAACTTTTGTCTTGTTTTGATGGTTAAATGAGATAGAGTCGGCAAAAATACTTGGCACACAAATGTAAGCTAACTTTTTAGCTTTTTTTTTTTTTTAACAGAAAAGAGATGGAAGTGTTGAACTGGGAAAGCTCTCTTTTCCTTTATAAAATCCAGATAAACCTTTTTAAATTTAAATATGAGCAAATGGGGCGGGGGGTGGAGATCCCTTCCTACCACAGCAAGACTCTCCTGCTACCCCTTCGCTACTGAAAATCATTTTCTTCATCTCCCTCCAGGCCGAAGTTGACACTGTCGGCCCACGTGGGTGGGATGGGGCGGGGAGGCTGGGTGAGAAGCCGGGGGCCGGCAGCCTTGAGCGCCCCCGCGGGACGGAGAGCCCGGGAGGGAGGGACGGGGGCGCCGGGGCAGGAAGCGCGGATGCGCGGCGGGGCCGCCTGCTCGCCTCGCCGTTCCGGGTCCCGGGCGACCCTACGGCCGGGCCGCGCGGGCTCCGCCTCCAGCCCTCCCGGCACCGCCCCGCCTCCTCCTCCTCCTTCTTCAGCGCTTTTCCGGGCGCCGGCCGTGGCCGCAGCGGTCCTAATTGTGGCCACCAGAGCCCGAGCTATGCGAGCCGCGGGCCCGGGCGCGCGCCCCGCGCGGCGGCTGCTGCTGCTGCTGCTGGCTGGGGCCGGGGTGTCTGCCGCCGCCTCGCCCCCAGCCCCGCCGCTCTTCAACGTGAGCCTGGACGCGGCCCCCGAGCAGCGCTGGCAGCCGGTACTGCGGCACTTCGACCCGGACTTCTTGCGCGCCGCGATGGCGCACATCCTCGGGTGAGCGCGGGCGCCGGGCGCGGGCCGGCATCCGCGGGGACACCAGCGGGGACCGGGGGCCGAGTGCGGGAAAGCCCAGACGCGCGCGGCCCGAAGTGCTCAACCCTGCCCTCCCTCTGCGACAGCCTCGCCCTCCACCCCACCCCTCTCACTCCCCGGCCTGTGGAGTGGGCAGGGGCGGCGGGGACCAGAACTGGAATTGGAGCTGCTCGGGGCAGCGTCCAGGTTGGAGATGATCCACCGCGGCTGGTTTGGCTTTCAAGTTCGGTGTCACCAGTGGCACGCCCGTCCTTGAGTCATTCCAGGTCAGGGTGGCCCGCGAGTTGTTAAGCCCCGGCTGCTCAGCTGCGGAGTAGGGGACGCAGCCCACGCCCTCCTTGCAGGCCTCGCTGGCCCACCACGCCCACCCTTTTGGGGACCATGCTCGCTCCCTGTCCCCGAGTTTTCTTTTTCCCTCCTGGACGCCGCGGATTCGGTGATGCGGCGCTTGGGCTGTCAGCTCTCTGGGGAAGGGAGGCAGCTGGCATTCACTCCTCAGGGTGAGAGTCTTAGGTACCACCCCACCCCCACCCCCACCCCCAGACAAACACACACTCGCACCCCTCCGACGTCTGAGCAGGTCAAACACCCTCGTGGTTCTTCGTTTCTAGGCATAGGATCCCCAAGTGGGTCCACGCGGTGATCCAAAAGGCGGTCGAGGAGCTGGAGGGCTTCCTGCCGCAGCCCTTCACTGGTGAGATCCGTGGCTTGTGCGACGTCCTGAACCTCAGCCTGGCCGACGGCCTCCTCATCAACCTGGCCTACGAGTCCACCGCGTGAGTGCCCCACGCTGGCCCGGATTAACGTGAGACTGCCCGGGAACTCCTGCCACACCTGAGTGGGCAGGAGAATGTTTTCACTTTGATACAACCAGGGTGGTGTCTGGGCAGCCCGGAAACCTCCAGCGCTTCCTCTTTGCTTCTCTGGGTAAATCTGAGCAGCTGATCATGGGCTTCGAGAAGGAAAGCAACTTCTCTGACCACAACACTGAACTTCTCCTCTACCTGAAGCTCCCTTTTCTCCCTCCACCAATCCAGGTAGCATCCCACTTTGGAAACTCTGCTCCACGTGTACTTTTCCAGGAAGTTTTTTAAATCTAACCCCCCTCGCATCTGGACCCTCTTAAGTTAACCCAGGGACCCTCCAGCCTCATAATGCAGGGGGTCGTCCCAGCACTTGTTTGTCCGCCTGCATTTATCCATGTTTGTCATGGCTAGTGATCTTGACTCCTCTTTCTGAGTCTGTTGCCTCCAGGGCTGGGGTCACAGGGAACACTGTTCTGGCTAATAAGGCCAGCTAGGATTTGGTACGCAGAGTGGGCAGGATAAAATGGCAGAGAAGTGAAAGCAATATGGAGCGTGTGGTTGATTTCAGGCAAAGGGCAGGGGTCCGGGAATTAAGTGAGGTTTGACTTGGTTTCTGCCTTCAGGACTTACTGTTTTGCCACCAGGCCAGCCTCATCTAGTAACATCTTGTAGCCACTTATAGCTTCTGGCTGCCAAAAGATGATTTAAAAAAAAAGTGTTTTAGGGATAATCAAACTTTACTGCCCCCAGAACATCCTAGGCCAAGCAGGTTAAGAGGCACTGGGACTGCCTTCCTCTTTAGGGAAATGTTTTAAGACACAGCTAAGACACAAGCTTGTTAAATTAAAGTGCTTTTCAGTTGAACTAAGTTAATTTTGCCATTCCTCATTTCCTACCCCCATCTTCTTCCTGTTCTATGTGCCTTTCTCAATGAAAAAAATCAATTATCATTTTGTACTTTCACATTCTTTTGTTGGAGTCACTGTATTCAAGCAGATGAAGCAAAAGTTTTAGTAAAAACATTCTGACTTGTGGATTCCATATTAAGGTATATATTGAATTGCCTGACAACAAAAAGCACCATCAGACTCCACCAGCATTAACAAAGGAAATGTTCTGTTTTCATTTCTGATATAAGGCTTTTTGAATCAGAGTAAGACTAGCTACCGTTTATTGAGCCTCCTGGGCGCCAGGCACTGGAGATGGTGTTACCTCTTGTGATGTGTGTGTCCCAAGCCTCAAAAGGGACAACTTGCTGAAAGTCAGGGGCATGGTGAGTGGTCAGAGCTGCTGCTAGAAGCGCGTCTCCCCCCACTGCCCTGCAGAGCCTCTCCCAAAGCGGAGCCTGGCTCCCCATTTGTCCCTGGGCTGTGGGCTACCTCACCAAATGCTAAAACATTTGGGCATGGCATGCAAGTATTGTTGTCTTGCCAATTTTGAAAAATCATCTTTGAGCTTCTCCAAGCTTCGCTTTAGCCAGTTCCAATGTTTTATCAGTCCCTTCCTGGACATGAACTCTTTGAAGTTAAGATCAGAAACCTTGGAAAAAATTAAAACCCGACCAAGCTTCCTTTTTTAAGCAAAAAAAATTAGGTAACATTTGTTTTCTCCTAATTTTAAAAGTAATATGTAATCATTATAGAAAATTAGTATATACAGAAAACTATAAAGGAAATTAACCACAATCCTGTTATTCAGAAATGACCATCAGTCATTCAGGGCATTTCCTCTCAGTTTTGTTTGTGTGAGTATACATATCTTCCCTCCTGAGAATTGGACATGCTATGTGTAAATATTTTTCCACATAACATTACATAATCTCAGAGAAAATGGACATTTAGATATGTTAACAAACCTCTTCTTTTCCTCAAAATACTTCAGTCTGGCTGGGAGTTCTTTTTTTTTTTTTTTTTAAAGATTTTATTTATTTTATTTTTTCCCCCCAAAGCCCCAGTGGATAGTTGTGTGTCGTAGCTGCACATCCTTCTAGTTGCTGCACGTGGGAGTCGGCCTCAGGATGAACAGAGAAGTGGTGCCTCGATGTGCACCCGGGATCCGAACCCGGGCCACCAGCATCACAGTGCACGCACTTAACCACCAAGCCACAGGGCCGGCCCTGGCTGGGAGTTCTTAAAGGATCCTTTTCTCTTATTAGCTCTGTGCCGGGAGCTCTAAGGGGGACGGGAAAAGTGCCAAGCCCCTAAAGAGTTGACCATTTTCCCAAGGAGATGATATAAAACATTTGTAGAACAGAATGATTTAGTGCCATTGTTCTTGCTCTGAGAAATTCAGAGAAGAGAGAGGGGAGCTTGAGCTAGCTGTGAACGGTGTGTTAAATAGACTACACACTGCCACGCGGAGGATTGAGCAAAGTTCAGAGGCCTACCTGAGCTCAGAACAGGTCACTTTCAGATTTAGATTAGGATGAAATTCTCGTTTAATATGTTTTCAATGCCATGTGAGCTGAGGGCAAAGGTCAAGTAACGCTGAATGAACACTGGTGAGTTGTGTCCAGTTGTGCTTTTCATCTTGAATTGTGAGTCCGTATTCTTGTACAAGAATTATCGCATATGTATCCATTATAAGGAAGAAAACTGTTTTACTTTAAGGACTTATTTTTAAAATGAAAAACTCATTTTCCTTTTTCTTATTTTTCTCATTCATTCATGTTGGACTTCTCCTTTTTCTCAGATTCTGCACCAGTATTGTGGCTCAAGACTCCAAAGGCCACATTTACCATGGCCGGAATCTGGATTATGCTTTTGGAACTTTCTTACGCAATTTGACCGTGGATGTGCAGTTCTTAAAGAATGGGCAGGTATCGTCCATAGAGTATAAGATTCAGAAATCAGAGAGACTTGGTAACCCAAATTAGCAATCATTTCGATGGCCTGCTGCTTAAGTGTGTTATCAGTTTAAAATACAAAAAACATCAAACTCCTGGAAAAACAAAACCACAAGAGAGGTTTAAATCAATTATGCTTATAGAAAGAAGGGTCATTTATTGTTAGTGAGCATCTACTTGAAGAGGTCAATCAATTTTCCTTAGGGAAATCTCCATGGGGGTATGATCAATTGTCAACTTATTCTGCTGAGTCACCTCTTTCCTCTGCTTTCCCATGTTCGGGCTAGGAATAGGGAGGGGCAGCACAGTGTAATGGCTAGCAACACCCAACTTTGGCATCTGGTGGTCCTGGGTTTGAATCCTGCTTCTGTCACTTACTTCCTTTGAGAACATGGGAAATTACTTAAACCCATTTTGTAGACTACAGCTCAGAGAGGTTAATAATTACTTTATGGAGATGCTTATAAAGGTTAAATGAAGTAATCTATGGAAAGCATGTGGTAGATGCTCCTTAAATAGTGGCCAAATAATAAATGGTCCTTCACTCTAAAGTTTAACCCACACCACTCTTGTATGTATGATATTTAAAAACATTATACTTAGATCATTTTATTTTCAACATAGTCCCTTAAAAAGTGTAATCTAATATGCACTGTTGTCACATTTCTTTAAATGCCTAGAGAGACAGCATTAATCAATGTTCACTGAGTACACAAACCATGCTATTGCCGTGAATAAAGCATGCAAAAGCCACATTTTGGCTTTGGGGGACATTGTTTAAGAACAAGGACTTTATTTCATTTGTTCTTTGCATTTAGGGGTTGAGTCACAAATACTAAAAAATCATGTACTAAATACTCATTTGGTCATCTGCTTTTACAAAACAAAAACTTCTCATAAAAAATTTAAACAGTACAGAAATGTTTAAAGTGAAAGCTTCTCCTTTCCCAATTTCATTTCTTTACTTCACGACTATTAAAATTTGATTTATAGCTGAAGATTTACTTCAAAAGTGGTTTTAAGTGGTAACAGTGACAGAATATACATGCAAAATAAATTCTGAATGGAAATCTGCTAAAATGTTTGCAATTATTACTGACTGATGGGACAATAATTCTTTTCATTTACTACTTTATGCTTTTCTCCGTTATTCGTCAGTGAGCAGAATTCTTATAAATAGACAAGGGATTAAATGCAATGAAAGTAAACTATTTCAACTGTTCTCTCTAGGACTCACACTAACAGTGTTGCTTCAGTTGTTTTGTTTCTCCTGGAGCTCCCATGAGAAGTAGCCTATTGGCGTGATTTTACTCTCAATGCTCAGGTTATTATTACCAAATTTAACAGTTTACACTTGGGTATTGTCTTTCTGCTGAGGGCTCATGGCCAGTAAATTGTTTTGCTAAATTATGAACAGGTTATCCACACAACAATTAATCTCTTATTCTTGTCCAGTGTTCATAATTTTAAAAGTATTTTCATATCCAGGACCTCATTTGATCCTCACAGCAGCCCTGTGAGGCAGGCCCAAGTCAACATTTTCATCCTTATTTTCCAGATGAGGGGGCCAGGCCTGAGAGAGACTAACTTGCCCCAAATCAGATGAGGGAGATGTGGCAGAGGTAGGACCAAAACCAGGCCTTCAGCCTGTCGTTAGCTTTCTTCCCCAAAACTCGGCCTTAGACTGTAAATTAGAGTCTCTTGCCACAGCTAAGGGTTTATGTTAACTGACCTGCCAGAGAGAATTGGAAAGCACAGACATTTAAAAATAGAGACAGTTTTTCGGAGCTGCATGATACAATGTCTTACAAATTATATCTTCTAATTATAATTATATATTATAAAATATCTTAGAAACTACGATGTGATTTTAATTTTCATGACTTTAATTGGCTCGGCTCTTCAAGAGTGACATTAACACCAGGGTCAGTGTATCATGCAAATGAAGTAACCATATGATTACCTTTTTTTTTCATATAATTACATTTTGTATGGGCTTTAGTAGTGAGATAGACTTATTTCCATTTTACTACCATAAATAGAAACGGGGAGAGTTCATGGAAGCCCCTTGGTGACTCTAAGGGAAAAGGTCATTTATAAAACTAAAGCCACTGCATTTTTCCCCTTCTAATTTAGCCACTTTGTAATTTACAACCAGATGAGGTAGAAATAAATGATTAAATGAAAAATATTACTGACAAGATTCAGTTTTCTAACAAAAAATATTAACTTAGGCCTATTCATTTCTCAAATATAAAAATATTAGTTGGGGCCAGCCAGGTGGCATAGTAGTTAAGTTCACGTGCTCTGCTTCGGCGGCCTGGTGTTCACAAGTTTGGATCCCAGGTGCGGACCTACACGCTGCTTATCAAGCCATGCTGTGGCAGCGTCCCACATATAAAAAGTAGAGGAAGATGGGCATGGATGTTAGTCCAGGACCAATCTTCCTCAGCAAAGAAGAGGAGGATTGGCAACAGATGTTAGCTCAGGGCTAATCTTCCTCACACACACACAAATATATATATATATTAGTTAACCTTTATTAAACAGTATGAGCCAGGCACTCTTCTAAGTACCTCTTTAAAAAATGAAATCTGGCATCTGAAATAACTGATAGAGTTTGATTTTTCTCCTCAGGGTAATATTAATGATGTCTTGCCATCATTAGCGCTCATTACTTTAAAGTGGGAGCAATTCCTATAACTCATGGGATAATTGTGAGGATTAAATGAAGGGTGTATTCTAAATCACTTTTTAAACATTTAAATTTAAAATGTGATTATTATTGATAAACAGTCTCACTTGTTTCCATTTACTTCACAAAGCTTATAAGATGCATGATATTTATCTCTTATAATAAGTCAACACAAGTTTTTAAATCGGAGCCCATTTGCTGCTTCTAGGATGGGGCTTCTTAACCTTCTTTAAGGTGCATGGACCCCTTTGGTGAAGCCTATTGATCCCTTCTCAGGATAATATTTTATAAATACATAAAGTAAAATGAGTGGGATTACAAAGAAAACCAGTTATGTTGAAATACAGCCATTTCAATATTATACTTTTTCTTAACACATTGAATAGTAAAATTTAGCAGTGGGTCTAGTAACTACCATGATTTTAGTGATAAGTATGAACAGTATTTCAAGATATCTGCAACCACCATTATGTGTGTGAAAATATATAATGACTTCTGCTGGTGACAGAGTCGCAGGCACGGCCGTGACGGCATGATTTGTTGCCTGCATTCCTTACAGACGGAGTGAAATTTCAGTTAGAGGTTAGTGAAAATAAAGGTGGACCTTTTTTCCCATTCAAGCTCACAGATCCACTGAATTCTATCCATGGACCCCAAGGTTAAGCCTTCTAGAAGGCTATTTCAGAGTTTTTATTCTGTTATATTTTATTCATATTATGAGCCTGTAAGAAACAAAATCCATGAAATTGTGGGATAAAACAGGTGATTTTAATTTGTATTTCCTTGGAATGATAAAATGATACTTCATCTCTTGATTTCAGATTGCATTTACAGGAACCACTTTTATTGGCTATGTGGGATTATGGACTGGTCAGAGTCCACACAAGTTTACAGTTTCTGGCGATGAACGAGGTAATCGTAACAAACTCCTGAGCATTTTTAGCCGTACTCCTGTTCAGTCTTACTCAAGTACTTCATTCATTCACCCAATATAACATGTAGACGAACACCTACCATACTACATGGCAGGCACTTCCATTCTAGTCGGGGAGATGGGCAGTGAGCATGTAAGCAATGAGGATGGTTTCAGGTAGACTTAAGTGCTACCAAGAAAGTAGAACAGGAACATGTGATAATGAAGGAGGGAGTCAGGTGGTTGCCACAGGCAGAGGGTCAGGGAAGGCCTGACTCACGTGATCCAGGAGCCAGGTCTGCAGAACCTGGGGGAAGACCATTCCTGGTGGATTCCAGAAATAAAAGACACTAGTGTGGTTACAGCATGGAGTGAGAGGGGGAGTAACAGTAGAGGTGGAGAGGAAGGCTAAGGCTGTGGGGAGGGTCATGATGTGGAGTTTGGATTTTAAACATAACGGAAGCCTTAGGAGGATTTTAGGCCAGAGAGTGAACAGATCCGATTTAGATGTTTTAACTATAACTTTGGCTGCTTTGTAGAGATTGGATTGTGTTGGGTTTAGATGGAAGCAGAAGACTGTTAGGAATCTATTGCAGTAATCTGGAGGATATATGATAGCATTATACAGGCAACATCTGTAAAGCACTTTACAGTTTATGGTGCACTTTCTCTTAAGTTTTTTCATTAGACCCTCACAACAGTCGTGTTAGATAGGCAGGGCTGATATTGTTAACCCCATTCATTATGCAGAGGAGGAAAATAAGGCTATGAGATGAAATGACAGTTAGTAGGTGGGAGAGGTGGTTCTCAAACTGATCTCCTGGGTCCTGGCGCAATTGCTATGTTTGTTGTACAACCCACTGCCATTCCCCCATCTCAGGGGATGTCGTTCAGTTCCACAATATGTGGGAAGCCCAGAGAGAAGCCAACTTTTATCTCTGTCTTCAGGAACTTGCAGCTGAGTGAGGAGAAAGGCATACACAAGGAGTTCAGTGTTGGTCATCTGGTGATCCCCTGGTTGTCTTCACATTGTTATTGTTTCCTTTGCTTAGGTTTATTTTTACCTGTTTACATAAGGCTTTCCCAGGAAGAGGCTGGTTGAGTGTATATCATAGTCCATAGTAGTCAGTTCTTTATCCTAATGTATTTCTTCAACATTTTCTCAAATGTCAGCTGAGTAAGATTGGTTCTCAACCAGTGGTACCCAAACCATGGCATGACGGTTACTAAGATTTTACAGCGAATGTCTGTAAGCATGTGTATATTTATTTAAAAAATGGGCTTTGTTTCCATCGTTTTGTGACTCAAATTGTTTAACTAACTGATTAATAGAAGGTATGAGCAGTTTAAAAATAACTGAGTTATTCTGTAACATAAACATTTAATTAAATATTGTCAAACTACTTTTTAAACACTTTTAAACTTTTTTAACCTTATTTTAATGAAAACTAGTTATATTTTAGTGTACTGTGATTGAGTTAAAATGCCTGAACAGGGGCCAGCCCCATGGCGCAAGCAGTTAAGTGCGTGTGCTCCGCTGTGGCGGCCCGGGGTTCGCCGGTTCAGATCCTGGGCGTGCACCGACGCACCACTTGGCAAGCCATGCTGTGGTGGCATCTCATATAGAGTGGAGGAGGATGGGCATGGATGTTAGCCCAGGGCCAGTCTTCCTCAGCAAAAAGAAGAGGATTGGCAGATGTTAGCTCAGGGCCGATCTTCCTCACAAAAAACAAAAACGAGAAAACAACAACAAAAAAAAACGCCTGAACAATAAGGTAACATCTCTTGTTTAATATAGATAATTAAGATATTCAGTTAAGTTTCTGGACATAATGGAGAGTGCCAACAGTGCCTCTAACCCTCCTGGGAAAGGATAAGGATCTGAGGAGGACTACCAAATAGCACAGAGTATGTGAGGCTTAGCAGACCACCTGGTAGTTAAGATCTCAGACCCAGCCTGCCTGGGTTTATATCTTGGTGCTGTCACTTGCTAGCTGGGTGGCCATGACCAAGGTGCTTAACCTTTCTGTGGTTCAGTTTCCTTGTGTGGAAAGCAGGGACGATAGTGACTGCTGTGAGGATGAAATGAGTTTATGTATGTAAAGCACTCAGGGCGGTGTCTGGCACAGAGTGAGGGCCATAGAAGCATGTGTTGTTATTGTCACGTCTCCAGGCCTGACCTCCCCCGAGACTGGAATACCCAACCACCTTCTCAGCATCTCCACTTTGATGTCTACTGGGTATCTCAAACTTCACCTGCTTAAGCAGGCCTCTTGCTTTTTTCTTTTCCCCTTTTCTTGCCCTCACTCTGCCTTCACCCATATCTGTCCCTCCCCTGGGTTTCCATGTCTCAGGAAATGGCACTCCTGGTACCAGGAGAATTCTTTGACCCCTCGTTCCCTAAGATTTGTCAGCTCTATCACCAAAACTAGACTCTACCTCTCTGTTCTCTCTACCGCCACTGCTGAGCTAGCTGCCGTCACACCTCTACTGCCGCAGCAGCTGTCCGTCTGGTCTCCCTGCTCCTGTTCCCACTCTCCTCTAATTTTTTTTTCTACGCAGCAGCTAGCATGATGAAGTTGTTCCCCTGTTTAAAACCTACAGTGACTTTCTGTTTCACTTATAACAAATCCAGAGTCCTGACTCTGACCTCAAAACTCAACACGATCACCTCCTGCACCTCATATCTTATGCCTCTGTCCTTCTCCCTCACTCTATCTGCACTTCACCTCCCCTTCTTTCTTCTCCTGACACCTGCCAAGCTTGTTCCTGCCACAGGGCCCTGACACGCATGCCTTCTGTCTGGAATGCTCTGCCCGTCGTAGCTCAATGTCCACAACTCAGAGAGGCTGTCCTTACGCTCCTCTCAAAAGGAGTGTCCCTCATCACTCACATCACTCACAATAAAACATTATTCTGTTTTATTTTCTTTGTTATAATTATCAAAATCTTGTTTATTTAATGGTACCCTAGTTTCTTCTGTTCACTGTTTAATTCCAAGGGTCTGGACCAAATCGGGATATGGTACATAGTAGATGCTCAATGCTTATTGAATGAAAATTTTCTTTGGAAATTCCCTACAGAGATTTTTAAAGATGTTAAAAAGTAATTTGGGGGACTTACTGTAAATTTGTATTTCTAAGAAAATGTAAGCCCAAATTAAACGTAAAGTTCTGAAAGATATGAGCTCTCGACAGAGTTCCTAATACTTACTGGGCCACTTCTCTTAACAGCTACGTAATTTTATTTTGCCTGGGGTAATTAATATAATGATTTCCTTTATCATAATTATCATTGTTTCCAGGAACAAAAGATTCTGCTTTCAAATATATATATATATATATATATAAATGTTTTTATGGTTGCCACGAAATTTGGGCTTAATTTTTGAAAACTGAATGCTAGTAAAATCACTCATCATCCACCAACCTTTCTCCCCCATCAGCTTGTACTATGGGAAGAAATAAGCTTTAAGGCATTTTAACAAGTGGCACTTGGGCAGCAGTTGGTGTATATACTTATTGTTCCTTCCTCAACTCGGCAGATAAAGGCTGGTGGTGGGAGAATGTGATTGCTGCCCTTTTTCAGAGACACTCCCCAATCAGCTGGCTCATCCGCTCTGTGAGTATATTTACTGTTGAGCTACCTCACCCCAACTTCATCTTCTACACTGTGTTCCTGTTGGGATGCTCTGTGTCATTTAACAATGTTGTTTTTGATATAAGAAGCTCCTGAAAAGAATAAGCATCTAAAGGTTTGCAAAAGACATGTGAACCTTTTTGATAATAAGCATCAAAGATAAAAAAAACTGGACACTAGTTAAAGTAGTAGTTGTAAATTATAATTATAATTATAAATATAAAAAATTATAAATTTCCAGTTATAAAATAAATGTCATGGAGATATAGTGTACAGCATGGTGACTATAGTTAATAATACCATACTGCATATTTAAAGTTGCTAAGAGAATAGATCTTAAAAATTCTCACCACAAGAAAAATTTTTTTTGGTAACTTTATGGTGACAGATGTAAATTAGACTTGTGATCATTTTGCAATATGTACAAATATAGAATCATTATGTTGTACACCTGAAACTAATATAATGTTATGTGTCAATGAAACCTCAATACAAATAAAGAAAGAGGGGCCAGCCCGGTGGTGTAGTGGTTGATGTCGTGCACTCTGCTTCAGCGGTCCTGGGTTCGCAGGTTCAGATCCCGGGCATGGACCTATGCACTGCTTATCAGGCCATGCTGTGGCAGGCGTCCCACATATAAAGTAGAGGAAGATGGGCATAGATGTTAGCCCAGGGCCAATCTTCCTTAGCAAAAAGAGGAGGATTGGCAACAGATGTTAGCTCAGGGCTAATCTTCCTCACCAAAAAAATAAAATAAAATAAAGAAAGAAAGTGGTAAGGACAGATTTTAATCAGTAGTGTACTATTGCAATAGGGAAAAGTGTCCAACATGAACTGAACTCAACTTCAATTTGTACAGAGGTGACTGGGTGTTTTAAAGGAAGAATGAGAGAAGGGGGGCAGAGGTGAGCAGGGGCTCAGTAGAGTCAGAGAAGTGAAAAATTACAAAAAGCAGAAAGGAGGGGTTGTCCATGTGAAACCTATCTGAGATTGCTAATCGGCTCTTATGGAAGTTAGCCTCCTGCCCTCCTGTGGAGACTGGGAGATGGGGACCCTATCTTCGGGTATTGCCTGGAACAAGCGCTTTGAGTTTTCTCAGGCAGGCGTTCTAAGAGGGGCTGGAGTCGTCCTAGGAATGTGGCCTTGAGCTCTTAGAAACTGTGTTATCGTTTGTTCAAGTCTTTATAGGTCGAGGTTGAGGGCTAGGCGAGAAGAGGGCTCAGAGGAGCCTGGCTAGAGTTTGGTCAAGGAGAGACTCTTTGTCGTAGGCTAGAGTTTTCCACAACAGCTGACTGAGGTAAGAGATAACCTTATGCTTTGCTACAAATATAGATGTACCCTCCTTTTAGAATCTCCATTTGCAAATATCTAAATTAGCAAAACAAAGGCATTAGAAGGTAGCCTTACATGAATCAAAAGAAAAGGAACCTCTGCTTTACATGACCTATTAGACAGCTGGGTTCGAGGCCACACATAAATTGTAATTTGACTACAGTAAGCTCGTTTTCAGGAGCACAGCTCTGATGCAAAGATCTGGCCCTGCTGGCTTTGGCCCTTTTGGTCCTTCCTCACCCTGCTGTAAAAGATCTAGCCCTCTGATCTGCAATTCTCTTAAACATTTTACTTGAGTACTCCCTAAAGATGTTGACAAACTATGCGTCCTTCACACATTTTTAAGATGACTTCTAAAATTTTTCATCATAAGATTAAAAAGCTGCAAAAAGTCCAGTGTATTTTAAACATTGCCGTTTAAAAATAAAACTATAATTTAAATCTATCCACTGGAGCCTAAACACCAAAATGATTTTTTAACTTTTTAGATATAATTTACATACAGTGAAATGGACAGATCTTAAGGGTTTGGTTCAATGTGTTTTGACAGTTGTGCACACTCTATCCATCCATGTAACCACCAACAAAACAAGATTCACGACATTTCCAAGTCCCTGGAAATTTCCCTAGTGCTCCTTTCCAGTCAATTCCCAACCTCCTCTGACACCCCACCTGCCCCCAGGAAATCAATCTTTGACTTATATCACCACAGACAAATTTTACCAGTTCTAGAATTCATATAAAAGAAATCATAGAGTACGGACTCTTTTTCTTTCACTTAGCATAATATTTTTTAAATTTATCCATGTTGTTTGTATCACTAGCTCTTTCCTTTTTATTACTGAAGAAGAATCAAGTGTGTGAATATGCCACAATTTATTTTCCTGTTGATTTCTAGTTTGGGGCTATTATGAATAAGGCTGCTATAGAAATTCTTGGACAAGACTTTTTGTAAACATATCAGTTGGGTAAGTACTTAGGAGTGAAATTGCTGGGTCATAAGGTAGAAGTATATTTAACTGAGATATAATGCCATATAATTTACATGCCATACAATTTATCTATTTAAAGTGTACAATTCACTGTTTTTTAGTATATTCACAGAATTGTGCAACCATCACTACAAGCAATTTTAGAACATTTTCATTCCTGTAAAAAGAAACTCTGTACCATTAGCAGTTACTGCCCATTTCCTTATTTCCTGAGATAGACAGATAAGGTACACATCTCACCCAGACAGTTAAGGTACCTGTCTCACCCTGACTTTGCCACCTGAGTGAAATAAGTCACCACTGCCTTCAGTATTCCTTACTGATGTTTTTTTGCTTCATTCTCGTAGAACTCTGTTAGAGGCAATGAATTCTTTTTTTATTATTATTTTATTGGGGTCATAATAGTTTATAACATTGTGAGAATTCAGGTATACATTATTATTTGTCAGTCACCATATATATGTGCCCCTTTGCCCATTATGCCCACCCCCCAACCCCCTTCCCCTCTGGTAACCACTAATCTGTTCTCTTTGTCCATGTGTTTATCTTCCACATATGAGTGAAATCATGTGGTGTTTGTCTTTCTCTGCCTGGCTTATTTCGCTTAACATAAACCCTCAAGGTCCATCCATGTTGTTGCAAATGGGATGATTTTGTCTTTTTTTATGGCTGAGTAGTATTCCATTGTATATATATATATGCCACATCTTCTTTATCCATTCCTCTGTTGATGGGCACTTGGGTTGCTTCCACGTCTTGGCTATTGTGAATAATGCTGCAATGAACACAGGGGTACATAAGTCTCTTTGAATTGTTGATTTCAAGTTCTTTGGATAAATACCCAGCACTGTGTTGTATGGTATTTCTATTTTTAATTTTTTGAGAAATCTCCATTCTGTTTTCCATAGAGGCTGCACCAGTTTGCATTCCCACTAGCAGTGTATGAGGGTTCCCTTTTCTCCACATCCTCTCCAACATTTGTTATTTGTTGTCTTGGTAATTATAGCTGTTCTAACAGGTGTTAGGTGATATCTCATTATAGTTTTGATTTGCATTTCTCTAATGATTAGTGATGTTGAACATCTTTTCACGTGCCTGTTGGCCATCTGTATATCTTCTTTGGAGAAATGTCTGTTCATATCCTCTGCCCATTTTTTGATCGGGTTGTTTGTTTTTTATTGTTGAGTTGTATGAGTTCTTTATATATTTTGGAGATTAGCCCCTTGTTGGATATATGATTTGCAAATATTTTCTCCCAGTTGATGGGTTGTCTTTGGCAATGAAGTCTTTGATAGTAGTTGGGGCATGGTATAGGCAACATAATCAAAAAAACATTCCATCACTCGTATTGCCTCACTTTATAATTTTGCTGAGTTTAGAACAAACCAATTCAAGTCTAAATACCTAATAGCAATACATGTAAGGCAGGGAAGAGTCCACAAAGCCCTGCCGTTGGTTGATGGTTTATGGTGCTGAATGATGGTGCCTTTGCAGACACTGATATTTTGAGTTTTTCTTTTGTTTGACCTTATGCCCACCCCTATCCTTGACAATGTGTCCTGGCGCAGTATTCAGGATGGGTGAGCAGAAAATGTACCTCTTTCAAAAAGTGGTGGAAGAGTGAATGGGAAGGGCAGGCTCTCTACCCCAGGATGTTCTTGAACAGATCAGCTTGAGGAAGGAGCACAGATGGAAGCTGAAGATTTGGAAACTGATCCCCTTAGCTGTCCACGCCACAGACCTCTGGAAGTCTTCATGAACCCCAGGGGTATCTGAACGCCAGTGAAGCTCACTGCTCTAATGCACCTGCTCACTTTCATCTCCAAGCCTTTGCCAAACTATTCCATCAAGCTAGAACTCTTCCCTACCCCCACTCCCAACCCCAAAACCACCACTTTACCAGTCTAACTTCTTTGTCTCTTTGGCCTTAGCTCATGCAATACCTCCTTCAGATGCCTCCTCAATGCCCTGGGTGAGGATGGGTCCCCTGCTATGACTTCCACAGCATCTCCTTCTCCTATGTTCACACTCATTACACTGTATCACCCTTGCCTGTTGACTTTCCTATCGTCCTTGGAATTTGGGGAGAACAAGGACGAGGTCAGTCATACTCCCTGCTTTGTCTCCACACCAACACAGTGCCTAGCACATAGTAGGTATTCAAGAAATACTTGTTGAAAGAACAAATGAATGAAGAAACGCGGAGAGTCCTTTCTGAGGGTGACTTGCCTAGAAAGCACGCAGCCCAGTCTGGTGAGCCGGACCTAGAACTTGTCAACAGTTCTTTCCTTTTGTGAGAAATCTCATGCTGCTGTTGGCTCCCCACTGAGGTTTCTTCCTTCTCAGGAGCCCTGATGACAAGAGGATAAGTCAGAGCAGTTCAAAATTATAGCCGTGGCTTAATATATCAGGAGAATGTGCTTTGGACCATTTGTCCATCAGTTGGTGTGGAGAACTGCCGGGTATAATGATGCTAAGGCAGATTTGTCTTTCTGTTCAGACCCTGAGTGAATCGGAAAACTTTGAAGCAGCTGTTTACAAATTGGCCAAGACTCCCCTTATTGCTGATGTTTATTACATTGTTGGTGGCACGTCCCCCCAGGAAGGAGTGGTCATCACAAGGAACAGAGGTGGCCCAGTGGACATTTGGCCTCTAGATCCTTTAAATGGAGCGTGAGTAGGATTAAAGTCTCTGGTTATTTTGTATCAATAATCATTTTTTTTTATTGGTGAAACTAGAAGTATTTTTTTATTTTTATACATTTCTTCTTTAGCTGTGTCCCAAATGATGTTGGGTAAGACAAGGTGATGTGTTCTGTTTTAGGTGGTTCCGTGTTGAGACAAATTATGACCACTGGAAACCAGCGCCTGAGGGCGATGACCGAAGGTAGGCCTCTGTACGCTTTCTGGTTTGCAGTGTTTTCTTGTGGTCAGGAGAATGTGCCGTTCCTATTACAGGAACTGGAGAGGACCACAGGTGCATCCCCTCCCAGAAGATATACCTTGGCCCCCTTGCCAGTGCCTTGGCTGGGTTGGGAGAGTGTAGTGTGTGGAGGAAAGCACTGGGAGGAGCCTCTTTGGTGGTTGGTTGAGTGTTGGGAGGGTAAGGTTGGCCCTGGCCTCTGGGTCAGGAGCCCTAGATTCCACCACCAGCTCTGCTAATGAGTCACTTGGGCCTCTGTTCATGCATCTGTAAAAGGAAAGGCTAGAGCAAGGTTCATGATTTTCTATGTCAGACTTTTTTGGAAGGAAAACATTTCCCATACTTAAATAAATGAATAAACGAGTTGAGGGCTTTCACTGTCCCTTCTAACTTTGAAAATTCTATAATTATAAGTCAGTGTGTCCCCAAAGAGCAGGTTGTTATATATTTCCTCTTGGCTTTACTGCCCTACATGTTTGGTGGCAACTATTCAATTCCACAGCAATACATTTCACAGTCCTGGCTTCCTTGAGCAGATGGGCCAGTGGGCCCGGCTGTTGAAGTAATTCCACTGTGGTGGTCTGGGACTAGGCAGGAAACACGCTTGGGGGCCAGAGGCTGTTTTGAGGAAAGGAGATAATGAGGCTAGGCCTTGCATTGTGCCTCCCAAAATGAGCGCTGGTGGGGTTCGAGGTTTCCTGAAGTGACCTTGACCGTTGTCCTTACAGAACACCTGCCATCAAAGCCCTTAATGCCACGGGCCAGGCAAACCTCAGTCTGGAGACACTCTTCCAGGTAACTTGTGTCACGATGTCCAGCTTTTACCCAGGATGTTTGGTGTCTTTGTTAATAGTGATTAAAAAAAAATTCTCCTCTGAAATTAAGCAAATGTGGTAGATGAAAATGTAAGAGTAAGTTTTCTGAACTTGTTTCTGTATAGGTTAAAGTATTCATCTTCACCTAAGTTTTTCTGCATGTTAAATAAAAGGCACAGTTGTAATATACGTTCATTGTTTAAAAGGAGAAAGGATTCAGAAGTCTGTAACTCTGTCACCCGAAGATACACTAGAGTGTTAAGTGGTTATTTTCTTTCTGCAGATATTCTACATGTATTTCTTCTACCTTTTAATACTCTTTGTAATATGATTTTTTCCTGTGCAGGTTTTGTCAGTGTTTCCGGTTTATAACAAGTAAGTGATGTGTTAAACACATCTGTTCATGCGTCACCGAGAACAGTGGACTCACGTACTCTGGCTCAGCAGGAATCTGAGGTTTCCTGCGGAGCACTTTCTAGGTGCTGTGGATATAGCAGAGAACAAAACAATGTCTCTGCTTTCAGGCGACTAGCATTCTACTGGCAGAGAGGGGGGGCAGAGGCAAGGAAGGGCAGATAATCAAATACATCCTGTGACAGGTGAGAAGTCCATGAAGAAAAACAAAGGTAAGGAGGATAGAGTGATCCAGAAGGAGGAGGCAGTGACGTGTTCATCCTAAATCAGTCTGGTGGCTGGGGACTACCTTCACTGGTTGTGAACTCCTTAATTTCACTCTGTTAGAACTAAACTGTAGACAGCTTTGGCTTTCCTTTATCTTCCTGGGGAGTTTCTGCTACCCCTATACTCATTCACAGATTATTCAGTATCTGAGTTAATGTTCCTCTTTTAGCCTGTACTCTTGATAGTAGCATCCTCTGGGCAATGGCTTCTTGAGTCTACAGCCTGGGATTTTACCCACATGCTCTTATGAGGTGAAGCCCTGGGCCATGGCTACCGCTGCCACAGGAAGCTCTTAGTTAAACTTGAGAGGCAGCCACCACTGAACTTGTACAGGTAACTCTGAAGGCCCACTGTCACCATCACAGCAAAGCGGAAGAGGCCAACTCTTCATTGGCCCCCTCAAGGGGTTGCCTAATTACCTTATCCACACCTAGGACCAGCTCATTAGGAGCGCAGACTCCTTCTTTTGCTTAGTGAGGTAGGGCTTAATTTACTAAAATGAAAAAGGAAGCCACTGCAAGTCAACACAGAGTTTTATCTCCTTCTTTTACTTCAATAAGTTCCCAAACCCAGCATTTCTTATTTTCTCATCATCCACTTCTGCTTTCTCCAAGGCAAGAATGTCAAAATGGTATTCTTCAGGAAATAACCGAATACAGATAAAACCTGTAAAGTGATTTTTAGTTTCAAATACCGAATTGATTTTTTTTTCTTTGAAATGATCCTCTTTTACACAAATACAAATAGTTTTCCTGATGGCCTCTAGAATAACTTTTGTATGTGGGTGCTTTAAAATTCCTTAGGTATAATGACATTTTCAAAACTATTATTATTCTTTTCACTTTGCACTGAAATAGGAATATATCTTCAAAATATCTCTTTGAAATTTTTTTCTTTAAGTATGGCCTGAGAAAAAGATTATTGCTGGGGGCTGGCCGCCATGGCCTAGTGGTTAAGTTTGGCCCACTCCGCTTCGGCAGCCGGGTTCGGTTCCCAGGCATGGACCTATAGCACTCATTGGCAGCCATGCTGTGATAGCGACCCACATACAAAATAGAGGAAGATGGGCACAGATGTTAGCTCAGGGCCAATCTTCCTCAAGCAAAAAGAGGAAGATTGGCAAGAGATGTTAGCTTAGGGCAAATCTTCCTCAGCAAAAAAAAAGATTATTGCTAAAAAATTTATTCCATAAACAATATTCTAACAGCCCAAAACAGAAAAACAAATTAGTCAGTATTTTACCCCTCTAACAAAGGAGCTATTTGGGTAACAAATGATTCCCAGTGGTATGCTAGAAAACTACCTCTTTGGGGATGGAGGGAGTGAAAAACAAGACTCCGCTGATCTGTAGCATTTATTGACTTCCATGGTGTAAATACTTCCCCTACCTGGCCTATTGCAAGTTTACAATTGGCTCAGAAACTTCCTGCATATTTAACAGTTGGTTCTCACCAGCCTGAAGGAGCCACTCCAATGTACCCCTGACTGTGCCCATTCCAGTAGGACACAATTTTGCCCTTTTAATATTCATTTTAAAAGATTTTATTTATTCATTCATTTTTTTTCCCCCCAAAGCCCCAGTAGATAGTTGTATGTCATAGGTTCACATCCTTCTAGTTGCTGTACGTGGGACTCGGCCTCGCGTTGGACGGAGAAGTGGTGCCTCGGGGCGCGCCCGGGAGCCGAACCCGGGCCGCCAGCATCAGAGCGCGCGCACTTAACCGCTAAGCCACGGAGCCGGCCCTATATTCATTTTAAAAATGAATATTTTTTGTGTTCTTATAGTTTTTAAAATAATTATATAAATGAGGAATATATCTTTTAAAAATTAGTGTTATAATAAAATATTTGTTATATTTATTTTAATAAAGCATTTTTCATGCTGTGAACAACCCTTATAATTTTATTTTATGTTATTTTTTTGTGAGGAAGATTAGTCCTGAGCTAACATCTGTTGCCAATCCTCCTCTTTTCTGAGGAAGATTGGCCCTGGGCTAACATCCGTGCCCATCTTCCTCTACTTTATATGTGGGACGCTGCCACAGCATGGCTTGATGATCGGTGTGTAGGTCTGTGCCAGGGATCTGAACTGCGAACCCCAGGCCACCAAAGCAGAGCACGTGAAGTTAACCACTACGCCACTGGGCTGGCCTCAGCCCTTATAATTTTAAATAGCCGATGTATAGCTAACTGAATGTAGTATAATTGAGTTAAGCATTCCCTAGTTAAAACTTTGTTAAAACTATTAAAACTCTGAAATAAACATATTTGTACATTTCCGCTCCTTCTTTTGAATTTTTTTCCCCTTGGCTGAATTCACAGAAGTAAGGTTACCGAGTTAAAGGCTATGAATGTTTAAATGGCATCTGAAATGTTTTGTTGAAATAGAATCATTAGAAATTGGAAACTCAATTTACTGAGTAGCATTTTTCTCTATTGTATAACTGAAAACCCAAGAGGAACTGCATTTAAATAAAAACCACTGAGCCAGAATTAACACAGATCCTTAACTCTCAGGCCCCTTACGTGTAATGATTCTTGTCAACCAAGGCTGTTCACATCATCCGAGGTTAATAGAAATAAGTCTGAACAGAAGCAATTAGCTCTATGCTGCCCCCTTGTGCTGTGCTACAAAACTACACTCACCTGCAATAGCATTCCATCCCCTGCTGTGGCTATAAGCAGAGAAAATATTAAAACAGTGATGGAGAATAGGATTATGACTAAAGTAAATAAGCAACCAACATCCTGTTCAGGGAACTTCTGTTACCCTTGGACAAGCTCTGCAGGGACTCATAGTGCTGTTTTCAGCTGGGTGTACGATTCTGCTGTGGGGCACCAGTGCCTCTAATTGTGCCTGTTCCTGAACAACCCAGCTCCAGATGCTTTGAGCATGCGTCCCAGCTGGTGTCCAGGACAAGGGGTAGATGAAGGAGGTGAGGGGCAGGGGCCCTAGTGTGTGTGTGCATGCATGTGTACACTTGTGCTGCTGTCGTGCAGGTCTCTTGCTATGCAGAATGTTGAGTAAATCACGTTGTACTTTTCATCCTTAGATCTGGACAAGTGGGCCCCTGTCTTGATCCCTGAGCTTTAGAGGCCCCACTCTGGCCTTCCTCTGACCCTCTCTTCATGTAAGGAATCCACTGGGTCAGGGACATTTGGCCGCCGAGTCTGACCCAAGCACCCAGAACCCTGGAATTCTCAGCCTGAGCAGCGCCAAGCCCATTTCCAGGGCCTGTGTGGTCCACTTCCCTGAGTGGTATTCTCCTGATGGCAGTGTGCAGCCATTGTGGATATCCTGTGCCTCGTGGGAGGCCAAGGGCTGGCTGTTTGCTGGATCGTGCATGCAGTCTAGTTGTGAAGGCTGAGGTGACCGCATACGTGTCACTTGTGGGGTAGGGCAGAGCAAGCGGTGAGGGCCAAGGCCGGCTCTCCCTCACTGCCACAGCGTGGAAGTCCGGGGAGTCTGAGAATTTTAAATTTGAACCTGGCCTTCCACAGTGTTGTCAAAATAGGAGGAAAGAACACTTTGCACGGTCGCTGGAATTATAAATTTTAAATATTGTGACGTATATGGGCCTCTATTTGCATTCTTGTCCTAGGTCCAGAGTGTTAGGGAAGGGCTTGGTATTTTTTTTTTTTCTCTTTGGAATATTAGGGAAAATGATGTGTATATAAAAATTGCTCTCATTATTTTCAGCTACACAATTTATACTACGGTAATGAGTGCTGCCAACCCAGACAAGTACATGACTAGGATCCGAAACCTGGGTTAAAAGTCAGTAAGCAGAAGAGTGAATTCATCTGTGCTATGAAAGGTTTGCTAAAGTTTATTGTTTTTCAGGGGGGCAGGGTAGGTGAGTGTGTGCTGGTATTCCTCATAGAAGATGGTATCCTCCTTAACGTTTATACATACAGAATATTTTCTGACAGGCGTCTGACATATGATTGTCATTTGTGTCAGATTGATGTCACTATTAGGTATTTATTTTGAATTGTTTGTATGAAAGCTAATCTTCTGGTGCCCAGTGCCCTTTGCCCTTTATTAAAACCTCTTCTCAGGGCAAAGTGTTATCGCTTCACTTACACAGCGGGGTAAATATGTAATAGGACTTACGTGTCCTCAGAGTAATAGTGAGGCAGGCCCGGCACCTTTGCAGCATAAGACAGATTCTGAAGGCAAAGGACACTTAGAGAATTTATTTTAGGCATCAGTGAGCCCATAGGTGAGGGCACAGACATGAGGAAAAAGCAGAAGTCCCTTTGCTGTCCCTAAAATCGAACCTTCTAGGCAGCTGCCTACCGAAAGGACACCTTTCCCTATTGCAAGGACCTTCCGGCGTTTGTAAACGTGATGTTTTGATCATTCACTTATTGTGGGGATGTTAAACATGTGTTTGAATTAAGTGCATTTATTTATTTTCTTCCCTTTACAGATGATTTTTTAAAAATGAAATTCTTGAAGAGCTGCACTTTAAAAAATAAAGTAAAATTATTTTGTGAACGATATAGACTCCTTCCTCATGAAACTCGTCAGCCTTGTGGAGTGGGGGCCAGAGGATCACTTGGGAGCTTGTTTGGGTAACGTGGGTAGTAGGCGTCTTGCATTTGCTTCGCTTCAAGGTTTGCCTTGACCTTCTCTAAGCTTCGTCTATCCCGGCATGAACAACTGGAAGATAATTGGTCTCGGAGGTCGGGCCATATCCTCAGGCTTTCTCAGCTTCTCACCATCACATATAGCTCTGTTGTCTACCTCAGCTTATGAAGAAGTGAGCTGGCCAGACCTTGTGGTTCATCATTGAAGTGCTTCTGGAAGAGTCTGAGAAAAAAGTCTTCTAAAAGAAGTGGAGAAACCTAGTTCAAATAGAACCTGTTTGAATGTTTGTTAGTCTGACCTTTGATCGTCTATTTCCATGTGATGAGATTCTCATTTTTCATAATGTTTCTAATGTTTTTTTAAAAAAATCGATGAGCCCTCCTTTTTCTAAATAGCTACTTTCTTACCACTTTTTGAAAGCAATATGGAACCAAGTTATTTCTGATTGTCACTTATCATTACTTAGTAAAATGTTTAAAGAGATGTTGGCAAGGAGAATAAAAAATTTTTCCAAGACATTTAGCGTTGTGTGCCCCCTACATTCTTACCCTTGAAGTCGCCTGGTTCTAACAGCTGTCCTGAGGAAGCAGCTCTCGAAGATGTTACGTTATTGAAGTGTCAGGATTCAAAGGCATGCACAGCTACTTTGTAGAATTTGATTTTTTTTCACATGTACATGAAAGAAATTTCTTTGAGGATGAACTCGGAAGAGGTTAAAAGCATAAACAATGGAGTTGATTGGATGTTCTTGTTTAGTGTGCCAGCAAAATGAAGGAAAATGGAATTTCTAGAGGGAAATGTTAGCCAGGTATAGATTATCTTTGCCCCGCCATGTCGCACACTTCCCTAGGGGCCCAGAATATTGTGTTTCTTCTTGGATAGTGTTGGTCAACATTGTTAAATTTCAATCATCAATACCTTTTTTTTTGGCTTGATTCGTTTTTTTTTTTTGTAAGGAAGATTGGCCCTGAGCTAACACTTGTGCCAATCTTTCCTCTATTTTGTCTGTGGGACGCCACCACAGCATGGCTTGATGAGTGGTCTGTAGGTCTGCGCCTGGGATCTGAACTCACGAACCCTGGGCCACCAAAGCAGAGTGCGTGTACTTAACCACTATGCCACCAGGCTGGCCCCCTAATGCCCTTTTTAAAATCAAATATCAAGAGTAATTTACTCTTGCCAGACACATTACACTGTGATTGAGGCTAGAAATTTCTACTCGTTAGTCATGTTCTATTCTTGTTTTCTTAAGAATATACCATGATCTTTGGATGGAAATTTGGGGAATACCATAATTTTAACCAAGTGAAGTGAAGCCATTGAAGGCTTTTCAGCAAGAAAGTGATAAGATTACTTATCTAAATTTCTGGTTGCTTTTAAGATCTTTATCCTTCATGCCATGTGGTTTCACTACGATGTGTCTAGATGTAGATTTCTTTTTATTTAGTCTGCTTGGGATTTGTTGTGCTCTCTAAATTTCAAATTTATGTCTTTTATTCAATTTTGGAAAATGCTCAGTTATCATCTTTCTAAGAATGGCTCTCTTATATTCTCTTGTGTCTTTTTTCCTGAACTCCAACTGTGTGTGTTTCATCTTCTATCCTTTATTTTTCTTAGCCCCTCTGGCATTTGCGGGACAAAAAGTGAGAGGAGTGGATTTCTCTCTCAATGATGTATTCCAGGTAATTCCTTTGAATTTTTTCCTCTAAATCAGAAATATTTCTTCAATAGATTTATTGAGTTTTTAATATCAAGGATAATATTTTTATTTTAGGTCATCTATTTGGTACTTGTTCAAATCTGCTAGGATCATTTTTTTTTTTATAGCATTTCATTCCTCACTTTCATCTCTTTTGTTACTCTTCTTAATCTATACTTTTTTTATATTCTGCTTCTAAATTCTGTCATCAAGTCCTCAGGTGTCCGATTTTGCTGTTTGTTTTTGCTGACTCTGCCTCGTGGAGGTTTCTGTGGTGGTTTGTAATTTTGGATTGTCAACTCTTGTTGCTCTGGAAATCCTGAAGGCCTGGGATGATGGTGTGCCCCCAAGAGAGGATGCATGTTTGTTAATTTCTCAGCTTGTGGGTTCTTAGAACACTCAGCTCATGTAAATTGAAGCCTCAATTTACATTGTATGAGGACAGGGGTGTGGTTACAAATTCATAGAGAAGAGCCCTGCCCCCTGCACAGGCTGACACATTTTAACTCTTCATCTTGTATGCACCCAAGTCCTTGTCCCTTTATCCCCCACCTCTCAAGGTAATTGTCAAAGAACCCAAGGTTCTAAGTTCCTGGGACCAGCAAGTGCACTTGAGCCACCATGGCTTCAGTGCCTGCTCGCCTCCCCAGTGTCCTCTTTATTTCCTATTCTCTCTTTACTCCCTTTGTTCTCTCCAGTTTTACTCCCTCACTTGCAAGCTCAGCTAAGCATTATGCATTTAAGAAAGATGTTTGTTTATCATTTCTAAGAGTTTTGTAGTGGGAATGTTTTTTCAGGATATTTATCCTTCCAAAGTATCCAGAAAGCAAAGAGCCATGTGAGCAATTTTTATTTTTTAAAGTTCATTCTGTGTAGAATGGAGAGTGCATCGGCGGGGCCAATAATGGAAAAGTGAAAACCAGTTAGGTTGACGTTATAGTAGAACAGATAAGAAATTAAGATGGATTGCAGGATGTGGAGACAACCTAAATGTCCATTGACAGATGAATGGATAAAGAAAATGTGGTATGTGCATACAATGGAATATTATCCAGCCTTTAAAAAGAAGGAAATCCTGCCGTATGTGACAACATGAATGAACCTTGAGGACATTATGCCAAGTGAAATAAGCCAGGCACAGAAGAACAAATACTGCATGATTTCACTTTTATGAGGTTGATGGGGTTCAGGACACACTAGCCCAAAATGTGGCACCTTGGCATACTGATATTTTAAGCTGAAGGAGTTTGAGAAAACGGCAGAAGCAGGAAAGTCACTCTGACCTCCTCCCCCTTTGACCTTTCTTTTCTGAAACAGGTCATAAAAGCCTCAGGTAGATGTCCCCTCTCTATACCTGGAGGAAAGGAGCATCCTCATCTCTGAAGACAAAGGAATGCCAAGAATACCCCTAACAAAGAGGACTTGCTAAGATTCCTCCAGTTTCCTACAAATTTTCAGACCCAGCCAGGGACCCTGAGAGGGTCGAGGAAAACTTTTACCCGTCCTACATCTAAAATAGACTCATAGAAGCCAGGGGCTAGGGAGAAGGGGAAATGGGGAGTTGCTATTCAACATGTGTAGAATTTCAGTTATGCAAGATAAGTTCTAGGGACCTGCTACACAACGTTGTATTTATATACTATACCACAGTATCCTTAACAATACTGTAGTTTACACTTAAAAATTTAAGAGGGTAGAGCTCATGTTAAGTGTTCTTATTAGAATAAAATTTTTTGAAAAGCCAAAAAAATTTTTTTAATAAATTAAAAAAAATTAACATTGCTTGGCTTATGGTGGTTGCATAAGAAATGGTGAGAGTTGCTTTTTAAAATATCCTATTTTTTTAAAGTATACAAACAACATATACCTATTATACAAATAAACCAAACAGTGCATCATGTAATACTTTGCCTCTCTTCCCCACTCATAGCTAGCACTCTCCGCAATAGCACTCCTAGAGACAATGTCTGTCCGTATTCATCAAGACTTTTTCTAACAGATCAGGAGACAATTGCCATTGAGATGGTTTATTCCTCATAGTTCCCAGGAGGAGGGGGACACACCGCGCCGCCAAGCAGGGCCACAGAGAGAACACCGAGGTTGGTTGCAGGCAGAGAGAGTGGGGAACTGTGTGCGAGAGCCTTTCATGGTTTTCGAGGGAAGGAATGTGTGCGACACGGTAAGCAGGCTGGACAAGTCTAGGATTGGCTAGTTTGAATAATTTCATAGGCTCCAGGGGCTGCCCCTAGTTGTCTGATATTGGCCCTGGGTGATTAGGGTGGGGGATAGTGGCCCTGAATGTAAGAGACCCTAAAGGAGGAGGTTAGGGGTATAGGCTCGGGACCGGTTGGTTTGCATGTGAAGATCTTGCCATCTCTAGGAATCAGCTAGAGGGGCAGTCCCTCTCTGGTCAGCAAGCCCCAACATGTCAAAGCATCAACACAGAAACTAGAAAACATACAATATAATTTTTTTTTCCCATATCGAGGTTAGATTATATATATTTCGGCAGGTTACCTTTTTCACATAACAAAAAATATGAGCATCTTTTCATGACAGAGGATATTGATCTACATTTTTTAAATAACTAGATAGTATTCTGCTGTATATATGTACAATAACTCATTGAACCATTCTACAATTTATGAACTTTTAAGTTGTTTCCAATTTTTCATGATCATAATATGGTAATGAAAATTCTTATATACATTTTGTATGAGTGTACAGTTCTATAAGATACTTAAAAGTGGAATTTCTGAACCACAAGGTTTACATATTGCAAATCTGTAATTTAATAAATTAAATACACAATTTAATAAATCACAATTAAAATTTAATCTAGTTTAATTCCAAACAAGCGAAACAATTTACATTCCCACCAGCAGTGTATGGAGAGGGAACTTTTTCTCATATTCTCAATAATACAGAGTTTTATCAGTCTTTTAACTTTTAGTGAATTTGGGGGGGAAAATGTTAGCATTCAACCACTAGCAAAAAAGTGAGCCAATGTGAAAATATTAATATCAGACAAAAGAGAATTCAAGGCAAAAAGGATTTAGAAGGGCAGAGTGATATTTTATTTTGTTCTCACCCTCTACCAAGAAAATAAAACATCCATAAGCCTTCATGTATCATAATTATATATTTGCCAATGGCAATTTCATATGGTTCAACCTAATATTTATTACATAGCTACAAAACATATAATGCAAAGATTCAGAAATACAGGGATAAATTGCTAAATCTGTACTTATCCTAGAAATCTTCAAAACATTTCTTTCAAAGATGAGCAGATCAGGAAGAATAAATAAGGATAAAGAGGATTTGAATAACATAATTAACAAGCTTGACCTACTAAATACATGTAAATAAACAGAGTATAAATTTCTTTGCAAATTCCCATGGCATGTTTAGTACCTACCAGTACACACATAAGCATCTTAGATTAACTGAAAAAGTAAGTTGTCTGGAAATAGTGATAAATATTTTAATATATTTATAGTTTGCATTATATCCTAAGGAAGAAGTGTCCATAGTAGGAGAAAACAAGAAAAGGCAGGATGTTTCAGTCAAGTTTTGCAGACAGAGCCAGCCACAGGGAAGAATTCGTTGGCTCCCTGTGTAGCTCCAGAGGGGACCACTGAAGCCCTAGAGCTGTCTCTGGAGCCCCTACGCCCCTCTGTCTTGTCAACACCCTTCTATTTCTGGGTTAAGGAGCTCAGGCTTCTTGGACGTGGCTTGAAAAACACATCCTCCTAATCCAGGGGAGTAAGAAGATTTAGCACTAGTGGGGTGAGAGTAAGCAGTGGAGAGACTGTCTTCAGGAATTGGGCCTGGTGTGAGGGAGACACCCCGTCTATGCAATCTTCCCCTTCAAATCCTCCTCGCAGTCCAGATCTGATTGAGGTCAAGGGGTACCTACTGCTGTGAGGCGGGGAGCCTGACCGCTTGGCCAGGGCTGTGGATGTCACTGCCTTCTGGGAGAAGGTATGCCAGACGAGGCCTGCACCTTATTTATCAGACTTGTGGGACTGGAAAAAATCAGATCAGCGGAGGATCCCTCAGCCGGCTCTGAAGACAGGATGGGGATCGTGCCTGTGTGTTATTAAAGAGGTTTCTCCCTCCTTGTGTCTCGTAGTAAACAATACCAAAGAAGGTAAGAGCTTTCTTTCTAGCCTAAAGTACAGGAATGGGTAAGACCATGAGGGCAACAAATGTATGTTTTCACACAGGAAATAAATACAGGTTTGATTTGGAGACTGAGGTCAGAGAAAGCCCCTTTGTTATCTCATTGACTCACCCAGAGAGGGTCTTTGTTGTGTGTGTTTTGAGGTCTTCAAGTCCTGGGTGATGAATCTTCCTTCCATTTCTTGGGTTCACTTAGTTGACAAACAATTACCTACATTTTTTTAAATGATAATGTCAGATATGGACAATGGTAAGTCAAATCCTAGAAGGACAGGTGTCTCACCCATGTGGTGTAGATGTGCTAGTTACCTGAGAAGACGGCTCCCCTGGGGAATCACCAGAGGAGAAGTAGTTAGTCATTACCAAAAGGTGCCGATTCAACAATCTGAGGCTACATCAAGCTCATTTTTCATGTTCAATCTTATGAAGTTTTCACTTTTTCAGTTTTTCCATTAAGAATTATTTTAGTTCTCCTTTCTATTCATTTTTCTTAGTGACTTCTAGAATGTTGTCTACTGGTCTATAGATGATGTCACTTTCTTCTCTTACGGCAGCCATATGTGATATCTATTTAGTCAGAGCCACTTTCTATGTTTTTCTTTAACACAAAAATTTTTGAAAAAATATCGATTTTTAATTATAAAAGTTATAATAGAACCATATAAGTTAAAAATGAAAGTTTCTCACACAATGCCATTCTTCAGAGGTAATCACTATTAACAGTTTGGTGTATGCTCTTTGATTATACACTTATTGATCTTTTTTTATATAGATGAGATCATAGAAAGCATACTGTTCTGCAATTTGCTTTTCTTCAAGTAACAATATATCTTGGGGATATTTTCAAAGCATTACATACCAACTTGCCTGTTCTTTGTCATGGCTAAATACTATTCCATTGTTTTTAACATACCATGATGTGTTTTGTTAATTCTGTACTGATAAATACCTAAGGTGCTTTTTATTTTGGGGGGAGAGAAATTTTAAGAGATTTCTGAGAGTGTCATTTAAGAAGGTTCCTCATCTATGATTTTCATGATAATGACAAACATTTGCAGAGTATTCCTCGTATATAACATTATTTCACCCTCATAACAACCCTGTAACGGAGTTACCACAATCCATACACAACAGGGAAACAGATGAGGCCATGGAGCCCCAAGGCAGGGATCCCGTGCACTTTTGCTGTTATAGTGATAGCTGGGTCCCCTTTCCTGCTTCCATGTGATATATGAAAGCACATCATTTTTGTCCCAGAGTTAGTTACAACTGGATGTGCTGCCTGATGAGAGAATTCATTTCTTTCGCTCCTAGAAGTTGTTTCAAATAGTTATTGGCCCATAATCGTTATTACTTCCTCACTCTATAGCAGTGTCATATTTCTGTCTCCAACAACTTTTTTGTAGAGTGGATTACTGACAAGGTTGTCTTATTCTGCCACCATTTTTAGATTTATAAACTCATAAGAAACAAGATGCCTGAGGGCAAGAGGACTTATTTAATAATAACGATCCATGACCCAGCAATAATCACTCTCCATCCCATTGGTTTATGCTCGTATTAGTCAGCTCGGGCTGCTGTAACAGAATACCATAGACTGGGTGGCTTAAACAACAGACATGTATTTGTCACTATTCTGGAAGCTGAGTAGTCCAAGATCAAGATGCCAGCAGATTTGATTCCTGGTGAGAGTTCTCTTTCTGCCTTGCAAAAGGCCACCTCGTTGTGGGCTCCTCACATGGCACAGAACGAGAGAGAGCTCTGGTCCCTTTTCCTCTTCTTATGAGGACACTAATCCCATCATGGGGGCTCCACCTTCATGACCTTCTCTAGACCTACTTACTTCCCAAATGCCCCATCTCCAACACTGGGAGTTAGGACACCAACATGTGAAACTGGGGGGGACACATTTAGTTCATAACAATGCTGCATTGAGATAGTATGTCTTTTACTACCTCCTAAGTTTGAGCCAGGGACATGTTTTTGATTATTGATATTTTAAAATAAATATATCAGATTCAGTCCATCAACATATACTGAGGTTCTACTACATACTGAGAACACTTTAAATATATTATTTATTGTTCTCAAAGATATGTAGATGAGAAAACTGAGTCTATGAGAGGTTAAGTGACCAAGATCTAACAAGAAGCTGAGCTGGAATTCTTACTTGCATCTATGCACTTCCAAAACCCAAACACTTTAATACACAGCATGCCTCCGTAAGCAAGTTACCAATTATCAAAGCAAGTTGTGAGTCACTGGTGAGCTCATCACTGCTGATGTCCCTTCCAGCCCTAAGACTGTGCAGGTGTCTAGGGGGAGTTCGGTTGGTTTGGTTGTGATGGCTTCTCACTTTCCCCCATACTCAGATTCTGGTTTCATGACATCTCTTACATCTGGGAATCATTATGCACACAAAAAAAGAGATCGTAGTCTTTTTTTATATGACTATTTATTCAAAAAAAGCTAACCAACATAAGCAAGATGAGCCTTTCATTTTGATTTGCAAGGGAAAAGATAACAACTCTTTGACAATCCCCAATAACCTTCAAAAATAGAGTAAGCAGAGCAAGGTAGAAGTGAAGGAGGGGAAAAATATAGAAGTGGAATTCATTCTCAATATTGTCAGTACATCTCACATCAGTTCCTGAAAAAGGGCTGGAAAAAAATTCATCTTTGTTGTATAAAAATAAATATAGCGTAAAGTTTATTCTATTAACATTTATTGAATCTCCACTATGTGTCAGGCACCATGCTAAATCCTGGGGATAAAATGATGAATTTGCTCACACATAGTCTTTGCTCTCAAGGAACACACAGTCTAACGGTAGAGAAACACAAAATAGAAAACTATAGTATGGTATTGCAGTGATGGAGATGGGAATAGGATATTCAGGAGCCCAGAGGAGGAGCATGTCCAACTGGCTTCCTTAAGGAAGGTGATGCCTAAAATGAACCTTAAGGAATGAGCAAGTTAGCCAACAGGAGCGGGACAGGAAGAACATTCCAGGTAAGAGCAAAAACACAAATCATGGTGGTCAAAGAGCAGAGTTTGAAGAAAGGAGAAAAGAGAGATGAAGCTGGAGGAGTAGGCTTTTGGGGAGATGGGTTCTATTTGTGATCCATGGAGCCTGACGCACCTCAGTGAAAGTTTAGCAGGAAGCTAGGTACATGGGGCTGATGTTTAGGGATGGTCTGGGATAGAGGTATGGATTTGAGAGGTGGGAAGTGATAGTTGAAAATGTGAGCATTGATTAAATCATCCAGGGAGCCTGTAAAGAGTGAGGAGAGCTGACATTTGAGACTAGAATACAAATAAAAATCGACATTTTAGGGATAGACAGAGAAAAATGAGCTCGAGAAGTAGACAGAATAAATAGTCAGAGAGGTAGGAGCAAATACAAGGGAGTTTGGCATTACTGAAGCCTGAGGAATAGAATTTTAGTCAGAGTGTGACTTGAGGAGACAGAGAGCCTTGCTGTTCTGGTAAGATAAGGGCTGGAAAGATGAAGGCATTGGAGACATCAGCATGAAAGGTGAGGATGCAAAAAGTGGTTTTAAGAGGAATTAAGGAGAAAATATGTAGTCTACTCTTGAGAGAAATCTGGATTAGAAGAAAAGAGATGTTGGGTTATAGTTAGAGGGATATAGGAGGTCAAAGGATGATGATGATGTTGATGAATTGCTTTGAGATTGCAAGAGAAGAAACGTCAGTATGTCTCTAGACTGAAAAGGAAAAGCTAGTAGAAAGGTTGAAAACACAGGAGAGATATGAGATGACAAATGGACGGAATCTTTGGGGGAGGAATCTCATGCACTGAGACTGGAGAGGCGGAGAGGGTTCTCTCATGTGATGGGTACACATTTTTTATGATGTGGGAGACAAAGTCCATAGGCAATTTGGTTTACCTGAGCTAATACTCTGCCTGAATCTCCTATTTCAGATTCCCTTTCCAATTTGTCAGCAAACAATTCACTCTCCTTCGCACCTGCTATCTGCATCCTGCAGAAACATTGCATTTACACTATGGGAAGTGGTACCTCAACCCAACATCATTTTGCTTTCCAGAATGCAGAGAAAGGTATGTGTTTCCCACCTCCCAAACTAGCCGTGGGTACCCCAAAGCCTACATTGCATACAGAGGGACTTCTCTGTATAGAAGCAAGAAACCATTATATTTCTCCTCAGGCAACTCCTGAAGATTAGCTTCTCCTCCTTCTGATGTGACCACCAGAATGTTCAGCTGAATATCTCGGGACTTGGTGAACCATACTTGACAGAACTAAAATTTATTCAAGGAATCATTGTTGTCCATTGGGGCTTATCCCAAACTACACACATGAATAAATGAAATAAGGTTGGGAAAAGAGGGCATGAAAGAGCATTCCAGGTAGAGGGTACAGCATGTACAAAGGTCATGAGGTAGGAAGAAGAGAGGCATATTCAAGGAACTGAATGGTCTGAAGTGAACAGGATGGAGGATGGCATGACATGAGGCTGCTGAGGTAGGCAGAGCCCAGATCACTCAGAGTCTTAAAGGATTTTAAACTTTATCCTAAAGGCATGAAGAACCATTAAAGACTTCAAAATAGGGAAATCTACAGTAAGATTTACATATTTAAAAGACTATCTGGCTTCTGTGGAGAAAGAACAGTTTAGAACTACTAAAGTCATCTAAGCAAGAGATGATGATGCCTTGGTCCAGAGTCGGTGGCAGTAGAGATGGTGAGAAGAGGGTGAATTCCAACAATAGTCAGAGGTGGAATTGACAGGGAAGGATGGGTCAAGAATGACCTCCTGGTTTCTGTCTAGCAAAACTGGTGCGATGATAATGCCAATTACTGACATAAAGGTAATGGAGGAGACTCAAGTTTGACTAGAGCGAAGATGATGAGTTTATGCACGCTGGGTTTGAGGAGCCGATGAGACGTGCAGGTGGGAGTGCTGAGTAGACAGTTGCATATTCATATCTGGATTTTGGAGGAGAGGTTGGGCTGGAGATATATGCATTTGGAAGGCATCAGAGTGTGGGTGGTTGTTGAAGCCATGGGAGTCACTGAAGCAGCCTAGAGTGAGAAAAGACAGATCAGAGACCAGGGCCTAGGACACAGCCATGAGGGACTCTGGGGCTTGAGCACAAGGTAGAAGAGGATGAGTCAGCACAGGAGGCTGAGGGGAGGCAGCCAGAGATGGAGGAGGAAGCAAGGGAAATGGTGACAGCACCTTGTTTTTTTGGGCCTAGGCATCCCTGTAACTCGTGGCTTCCTTACTTTCTAGTTTGGCAATGTGCCCAGACCAGGAATAGCTATTTCCCCAGAGTGGGGGTGCTCATTGCTACCAGATTGGTCATTATTTCTATATCTTCTCGGTGAACAGATCCAGAAAATATGTATTATTTAAAGGAAAAAAAACATCATGACCAATTTATATTTAGGACCACTATATTTTTACTTAACAACCTTTATATTTTATTTACATCTCTTTTCTCTTTATTAAAAATCTTTTTTCCCTAATGACCTTAAAATAGTAATGTTTACTTTATCCTAATATATATAAATAATAGTTTCAGAATAATAATAACAATACTATTATAAACAATATGATTACTGAAAACTCTAAGATTTCTTTGTAGTTCTTTTTGTCCTCAGATATATCCACCAGGGGTGTACAAAGTACTGAATTTTCAAGTCATTTGAAGTAACTCCTTTCTGGGTGGTTATGCGCTAACTTAGACAAGGTTAGATGCACTTTTAACTTTTGCTTTTGCTTTTTAGAGATTGATTTCTTTTTCATTTTGATTTAAGTTTGTTTTATAATTTTGTAAAACATTGATACAATTCCTGTTCCAGTTACCTATTGCTGTGTAACAAACTGTCCCCAAAATTGACATAAGACAACCATTTTATTCTGCTCATGATTTTCTAGGTCAGCACTTTGCAAAGGGCCCAGCCAGGTGGTTTGTCTGTCACTCTCAGGGCAGCTGAGGCTGGAGGCTCTGCTCCTAAGATGGGTTGTCACTCAGTATCTGGTGCCTTGGTGCCCCTTGGCCTGTCTCCCCACGTGTTTGCCCTGTTCTTAACAGCCAGGTGTACTTATAACTTGCCCCCCAGGATTTAGTCTACACAAGGCTTGAGCAAGCGGAAAGAGCCCAAGCATGCTGGATCTTGCTGTTGGGAAGGGAGAATAGGGTAGAGGGTCTCAAACTGTCCTGCATCTCAGAGTGCCCATCTCATTTAGAGGTAACCCAGGCCCCAGATACACGACTGAGAGGGATAAAAAAGGAGAAAGAGAGACATTGCCTGCTCTCCCTGCTCTAAGTAGCAGAGGCATGACAGAGGATATGAGCATGTCAAATTGGCAGCACTTGCCTTAAAATGCTTGAGGCAAGGTGTTAGCAAACAACATTTTCCTAAGAACTTGATGGCCATGATATTCCTCAGTGTTGCTTAAACTTCAGTGCAAGTAAGAATCATGCTTGGAGTTGTTAAACCTGCAGATCCTGGGTTCCCTGTAGAGATTCTGATGCTACAGGTCTAGGGTGAGGTCCAGAGATCTGTGTGTTTCCCACGAGTTCCTAGAGTCTGTAGCGCTTACTCTGGACGTTTCATTCACTGCCCTGATCGTGGATTTATAGAATTCAATTGGTAGAGCTTCAACCTCATCACCTATTATTTAGTAAGTGCCTTTGAGAAATACAGTATGACCTTTTTCTCATAGGAAAATTCAGTTTTGCTTAAATTCCTCCCAGGTTCTCTTTTCTTACTCTACAATCGTCTATCCTCTTAGGGAAATCAGCAAGAATTCTATTAGCTCTCTAATGTAGGCTAAATATATTAAACCAATCTGTCTACTGTTCACGAGGTTGCCCTGAGTGAACCTGCAGGGTTTCCTTTTTAATCCAGCTTTATCCACAAATACCCCATTCATCACTGGCAGCACATTTAGGCCCAGGAGCTTAAGAAGAATCTAGTTGTTTACTCGGAGAGCTGTCCTCTTCTCTGGCAGCAGTAGGTGACCACAGGTCCTAAAGCTCCTACAAAGAATTAAACCCACCCGTGCCATCCTGTGGTCCCTGCTCACCTAGCACAGGTCCTGGCAAAAGGAGAAGCCCACAGGCTGCCTGTGGATTTGATGGTCAGTGCAGTAATGGAAGTATTGTGATGGGCGTATCACTTAAAGCCTGAGGGAATATCATGAATGTGGGGACCCAGCAAGCAGTTATCAGCACCTGACATTATAGTATGTACTAATTTGTGTGTTTGTCTATTGTTTGTTTTCCCCAATCATCATCGAGTCCATCTCCCTTGCCAGATGAGGACGTTGAGGCCCAGGATGGTGACTTGCCTGACCACATCGTGGTCAAGGCAGCTCCAGGCCTAGAACCCAGGTCTCCTGACATCCAGTCTATTATTATACAATCACGTGTTGCGCTTAACAATAGGGATACTTTCTGAGAAATGCGTCACTAGGCGATTTCGTCATTGTGCGAACATCATAGTGTGTACTTATTCAAACCTAGATGGTAGAACCTTCTACACACCAAGGCTGTATGGTACTAGTCTGATGGGACCACCATCGTATATGCAAACCGTCGTTGACTGAAACGTTGTTATGCAGTGCATGACTGTAATATCAAAATGTCCTCCCCACCACGCCCTGCATTAACTCACTCTTCAAGGGTGCCGCATCCTTGCGGTCTCTCCAGTTTACATCTTCTCAGAATCCTGGCAGTCAACATTCCCATCTCCACACATATAAATGTGTTCATCAGTAAGTAGGAATTCCAATAAACCTCCAGCGATATTAGTATAACCACCAGGTAAGAATGGAGGTGGGGTGGGGGGCTGGAATGAGGAAAAGAGCACCCTGGGCAGCAGTAAGGCAAATCCTTCCTACGGGCAGCAATGGGTGGTGCTTTCCACACCATCTTGTCCTACATTACAGAGGAAGAGGGGCCTCCACCTCCCCACAGGCCCAGGGAGTCCCAGCTCACAGGCTTGCTTCTCTGTCTGTGTCACAGCCTTCAAGGCAGCGGCCCTGATCCAGAGATGGTACCGGCGCTACATGGCACGCCTGGAGATGAGGCGGCGGTGCACCTGGAGCATATTCCAGTCTGTAGAGTATGCTGGGCAGCAAGACCAGGTCAAGGTGTGGTGGGATGTGGGTCGGAGCTGCCTCTAGCTCTGCCTTCCAGCCCTTGGGCAGCAAGGCCCAGGTGCCCAGAAGGTGCAGCTGCTCTAGACCACTCCTGGGTTCTCTTTTCACTCATCTCTGAAGCCACGTCTTGTGTTCTTCTGCAGCTCCATGATTTCTTCAGCTACCTTATAGATCACTTCACTCCCAGCAGTCACAATGAGAGTAAGTATGAACTGCCACACAACACATCCCCCTGTCTCAGGGTCGTAGATGTCGGGGTGAGGTGGGAGATCCAGGGAGTGAGAACATGAATCCAGCGACTGCCAGGGAATGAGCCAAGAGGCTGACAAACGGCAGAGTGGAATTTTATTCTGGGTTCTCCCAGAAGCACGTGGGGAGACAAGAATTTGAGTGCAAGGAATTTATTTGTTAAATACAGGAAACATTGGGGGATGGGGATGAGGAAGGAGTGAGTTAGGGATTCAGGAAAGGGAGGGGAGCCAATAAAGTGTGGGCTACTAAGCCAGCAACTCAATGTGCCTGGGAAATACACATTCCTGGCAAAACACACCAGGAATGATCCCACCTGAAGGCAGCATGAACTGAAGTCTTTGTATGTCAGCTCCTGAGTGTCATTGGTTGAAGGCTGCTGGGAGGGGCCGGTGGGCAGGGTTGTTAATGCCACAGTATTTCCAGCCAGCTGACAGGGCCCTCCACGGACCCAGGAAGAAAGCCCTCAGGCTGGAGGCGCACAGGCAGGCAATTGGCGGTTGCTGCAGTGCACCGGAAGATGGAGGCATCTGCCGCTCTCACTAAGTGCAGCGGAAATGCCTGTGAACTTTTCCTCCACCACGGCTTTTCCCTTTCCTCCTGCTTACAAACCTTGTCCCCCAAATTTTCTGTACTTTCTAAGTTGATCTTTTAAAATAAAAGTAAAATGGAACTGATATAAAAACATAACCTCTTCCTCCTGCCCATCCTAATCTGTTGTCACTTTCCCTTTCCTATCTCCTCTCCGGTGTTGGAGCCAGTGCCAGACTGGCCAGGTCCCACTTGAAGAACAGTCCAGGGAAAGAGTTCTGTATGGCCTGTGGACTGCACGTCTGATCGTAAGCTGGCCCACCCTTTCTGTCTGACTAGGGGACTTCCTGAAGCGCATGTTCGCTGAGGAGAGATCCCTCCAGGACTCTGAGCTGGAGAGATGCAGTGACTATGAATCCATACAGGTACCAGACAGTTACACAGGGCCACGCCTCTCCTTCCCACTCCTTCCTGAGCACGCAACTGCCCTGGTGGAAGCCTTCAGACTGAAACAAGTAAGCCCACCCGGGGATCCTGGGTCCCCACCAACTCCACGGAATGTGTAGAGGGAGAGCAGACCCAACGCGGCAGCAATGGCACCATATTTAGGGTGTTCGTGTCATGGGTCCACTAGAGAGAGTCCACTCCCCCTTTGCTTAGCCAGGACCTTGTGGTTGATCAGCCAGCTTTTATGCTTTGAAAACTTCTCCTCCTAATCATGTGATCTCTCATTCACTCATCCTGCAGATAATTATTGAATGCCGCTATGTGCGGGCACTGTTCCGGGCAGTGGGGAAACAGCAGTGAACAAGACAGATACAAACCCCTGCCCTCGCGGGGCTGACAGTCTAGTAGGGAGACAGACAATAAATAAGTAAATTATGTAGTTTATTTGAAGGTGATGAGAGCTGTGGAAAAGAACAAACTAAGTTCTAGGCGGGAGAGATGGCAATTTTAAAGTAGTCTCAGAAGGGCTCACTGAAAAGGTGATTTCTGAGTGAAGGTTGAAGGTGGTGAGGGAATGTGCCATAGGGACGTCTGGGGAGGGCATTTCAGGCAGAGGGAACAAACGGAAAGGCCCTGAGACACGGCCTTGCCTGGACTGCTCAGGGAGCTCAGGAAGGCCGTTGTGGATGGAGAGGAGGGAGCCAGGGGAAGAGTACTAGGAGATGGAGGCAGGGACGTGAGTGGGTGGATTTTTATTCTTCCGAAAGAGATGGGAGACATTGGACATTGAGCACAGGAATGGTATAATCTGGCTTGCTTTTTAAAATTATCATTCTGGTTGCTGAATAGAGTATAAGGAGCAAGAGCAGAGGCAGGGAGACCATCAACAGACTACTGCAATAGTCCAGGCCAAAGAGGATAGTGTCTTGAAACGCTGGTGGTAGAGGCAGAGGTGGTGAGAAGTGGTCAGATGCTGGCTCTATGCCAGATTCCAACCGTTCCCCTCTTTCGTATGAAGATAATTCACTGCAGGAGGAGTTTGGATGATTTTCCAGGTAACGTCAGGATTACTCAGTACCATCAACATGCATGCACTTATTCATACTTCGCTGAGACAATCATGTGTTTCTCCCAAGCTAAAGGCAGGAAGGCTTTCATAGAGCAGAGAGGAAAGAGGAAATTAGTTCAATATTTGAGGGATGATGAAAAGCAGAAACAAGGGCAGAAGATGGGTGAAAAGGAAAGGATCTGTGCATGGGGTTCCAGGGGCAGTTTACTAGGGTCACTTTTGGGGTCTTGGGTGATTGGGGTCATTAGCAGTAAAGATGAGGCCCATCTTCCCTCATGAATATTGATGTTGTTTTGTTTGCTCCCTCCTCTTCCTCCTAGTAGCAGCTCCATGCTCGCTATGTCCTGAATCTTTTGCATGAAACCAGGAAACATCTGGTGCAACTGCCCAACATCAACCGGGTCTCCACCTGTTACAGCGAGGAGATCACAGTGTGTGGTAAGAGCTGGTTAGATACAGCCTTACATGCTAGACACACACAAGAAAACTGCCTGCGATGGGAGGGAGGCGGGGTTGGCAGGAGATGCGATGGCAACATGGGCAGGCCGGGTTCACTCCTTCACACTGATAGCATTTACATATCCGCTGCACGTTCACTTAAAGTCGAGCTGGTACAGTGAAGGAGAACTGCGGGGTGAGAGGGCCCAGCCTCTGCTCTATTTTCCCAAGCAATTCATATTTGACCCCAAACCCATGCTCTCCATTCAGAACAAAATCCCTACAAAAGCCAGAGTCTCCCTTGTTAGAAGACAGTTTATTTATTGTTCTTTGAGTAGGCCCCAATGTCTAGTGAATTACTCCTTCCATCCACACGTATTCTTCTCCCAGAAAGAAATCCTGTTAATGATGATTTTTTTCCTTCTTCTTACGTTTTCAGCGATATTTAAACATCCATTGTAGACTGACATCCCACACCTTAACTTAGGGGAGGCAGGGATTATAAATTGGCACTTCTAGGGCCACATGCAGCATGCAGATGGTCTTGTTTGCCCTGAAATGTTCTTGGATTTTTTTTTTTTTGCTCGGAAAGATTCACCCTGAGCTAACATCTGTTGCCGATCTTCCTTTTTTATTTTCCCCTCCAAAGCTCCAGTACGTAGTTGTATATTCTAGTTGTGAGTCCTTCTAGTTCTTCTATGTGAGCTGCTACCACAGCATGGCTACTAACAGATGAGTAGTGTGGTTCCGTGCTCGGGAACTGAACCTGGGCCACTGAAGCGGAGCACGCTGAACTTTAACCACTAGGCCATCAGGGCTGGCTCGAAATGTTCTTAAATTTTTTTCTTTTTGCTGATGAAGATTTGCCCTGAGCTAACATCTGTGCCAATCTTCCTCTATTTTTTTTTTATAACTTTATTTATTTATTTTTCCCCCCAAAGCCCCAGTAGATAGTTGTATGTCATAGCTGCACATCCTTCCAGTTGCTGTACATGGGACGTGGCCCCAGCATGACCAGAGAAGCGGTGCGTTGGTGCACGCCTGGGATCCGAACCTGGGCCGCCAGCAGCGGAGCGCAAGCACTCAACCGCTAAGCCATGGGGCCGGCCCCAATCTTCCTCTATTTTGTATGTGGGTTGCCACCACAGCGTGGCCACCGCCGAATGGTGTAGGTCTGCGCCCGGGAACCAAACCTGGGCCACTGAAGCAGAGGGTGCTGAACTTAACCACTAGGCCATGGGGCTGGCCCCTTAAATTTTTAAAATTGGTTTCCAACGTTTGAAAATTGGAGGATTTCATATTAAAATCCAGATTTCCAAATTCTTTTTGAAAAATCTCCTAACATTGGCCCATAAGTGAGCAGCAGCTTCCTACTGCAGATGGGGCAGAATCTCTCAGTTCTCATCTGGGTTTGCAACCCTGCACTATTCTGTCCCATCTTTGCTCCAGTAAAAATACAAGTCATCTACTATTTATGATATCATGTAGGAAAAATATTGTGCTTTCTGCTTTCAATATTAACTATCCCTGCAACAAGGGAAATGAATATTTATCCCTATCTTACATATGGAAAAATAAGTAACCGTAAGTTTCTTAACTTTGTCAGATTTTTCTGGGTATTTTCCTTTTTATAGTAAAAATGAGAAACAATGCTAAGGACCAATTGAAACTGATATTCTTTTTCTGTCTTTGTTAGGAGATTTACACGGCCAGTTGGATGACTTAATATTTATATTTTATAAGGTATGAATGTTCAAATTAAGTTCCTGTCTTGCTCTGAGGCTTAATTTAGAAGTTCAAATAGAGTATCTATTAAGTAAATGCTTAAATATTGCTTAGATTTTAAAAATATTATTTTTAAATAATATCTGCTACCATGTAGCAAATACATAATATAAAAGCCAGCACTGCATTATATTCTAGTATATTTTTGTAAACTGTTTAAAAAATACAAAATCTGAAGTTAATAAAGAGAAGGAATCATTATTTAGCAATTGATTTTCTTTTTTACAAATAAAAAAATTGTTATCAAAGCAACTGAAAGCTATTTTCATACTCATTTTTAGTTATAAAGTGTAGAGCATATAACAACATATATGAATATTCTATTAATGTAATATTACTTTATATATATATACTATACTTCCCAAAGCATTCTCCCCTGTATTGTCTTGTTTAATCCTGAGAATGAAAGGCAGCTATTGTTATCATTTCTAGTTAAAGATAGTGTGGCCAGAACTTAAAACCGGCCTTCAGACCACAAATTCAGTGCCCTTTGCACATACCACACGGCAACACTCTGGCTTGTATAAAGCATTTATTTTGATGAACATGTCATAACCTCAGCCTGGCTGGAAAGGAAATATAAGACCAATGGAAAATATTTCCATCTTTTACTGACATTTCGCATTTGGAGGAGAACCAGAAAGCACAGAATTGGTGTTAGATCTGATGTGACTGTCAAACGCACAGTGGCTTGACCTGATCTCCTATTCCCTTCCTTCGTTGCCTCTTCTTGGACTTGCCTCCTTGCTGGGAAGAATGGCCTCCCGTCACCAGAGCGGGCCTATGTGTTCAACGGCGACTTTGTGGATCGAGGCGAGGATTCACTAGAGATCCTGATGGTTCTTTTTGCCTTCATGTTGGTTTACCCAAAAGAGTTCCATCTTAACCGAGGCAACCATGAGGACCATATGGTGAACTTACGGTACAAACCAAAACATGCCTGGGTGTTTGATGTTTACCTGTTGTGATGATAAAAAGTTATTTCTTAAGAGGTTCTTATTTGTTAGATGACTTTTTAAAGTAGTTTTTCAATTTTATAAAGTGAAATACACAATATATAATATTTTAAGAAATTTTTTTAATATCCTACTATTCCAAGAAAACCATTAAATTTTTTTTCACATATCCATACTCTTTATCATATAAACAATAAAGGTTCACTGAAGAAAAAGTAAGAAATACAGATAAGCAAAAGGAAGAAAATTAAAATGTCCCCTAATTTCTCTACCCAGAGATAATGTTATAATTGTAAACATTTTGGCGATTATTCTTCAGTCTCCTTTCTATATATTTAAGTACATGTATATAAAATATGCATTTTTATAAAAATGCATTCATGCCACAACTATTGTTACTAAATTTAATATCTATTTTTGCTTCTAAATCTAGTTATGGCTTCACCAAGGAAGTGATGCATAAATATAAGGTACGCTGCCTTTATAAGCAAAAGTTTCTCTTAGTTCAGATAAGTGTCATTTGAAACTTAGTATGTTGTGAATATCATTTTTCAGACACATGGCAAGAAAATACTGAAAATACTGCAAGATGTTTTCTGCTGGCTTCCGCTGGCAACTCTGATTGATGAAAAAGTTCTGATTCTTCACGGTGGAGTGTCAGACAAGACTGACCTGGAACTTGTGGCTAAACTAGACAGGCACAAGGTACTGACTGAGTGATGAAACAGTGCAAATTTCACCACAACGCCCAGTTTCACTGCCACCATAAAATAAATGTCATCTTGCATGCTGACTCCAGTTGACTAATGAGGGCTGTTAAGTGAAGCCATTAAGTCAATAAAAGGAGAAGGATTGAGAATCCACAGCTAGGCTCAGGGAGCAAGTGCGCTGTGATCAGTTAGTGATGTTGCCATGGACACGATAGTGGGGAGTGGCAGCTACTGCTATCTACTTGCCATCCCTGATCTAGATAATTCTAATCATTACCCTTCAGTCACTGTCACCTGAAGAGATTCTATTCCCCAGGCAATTCAGATCATCGTCAATTAAACTCAACAAATGTGTATGGAGTGCCTACTTCATGCAGGGAAGATGCTATTGGCAGGAGCAAAGATGAAGATCAATTTCAATTAAACTCAACAACTATGTTTTAAGTGCTTACTATGTGCAAGGAAAGTGCTAGGCGAGATACTAAGATAACCAGAGATGATGCCTGCCCTAAAGGAATTTATAATAACCAGCAGGAGGAGGGGAGAGTGAGAGACAGAAGTATTATACTCCAATATTAATAAGTCTCTATTTTCTGTTTCATTTGGGAATAGAAACCTAGAAAGCAAAGATTCTATTTTCTTTTAATCATAGACTCTTACTCTTGAACAGTGTATTATGGTGTCTATACTCCAAGTGCCTATCACACACAGGAATCCCTACTACAACATCCTTGACAACATTTGCTGAGCAGTTCCAAAGACAGGGAACTCATTACCACACAAGTCAGTCTACTTCGGGCAAATCTAGTTGATATAAAAGTCTATGTGATATGAGACATAACTGAAAGAGCATGGCTTTAGAATCAGACAGACCTGGGTCTGAATCTCAGAACATGCAGTTCTTGGCTGGTATGGCAGCTTTGTTTTACTAGGTTGTCCAGGGACCAAGGCTTCTTATGTCTTCTTACTCTGCCATCCTTAGGGTGTCATTCCTGTGCTCTCATCTGCATAGCCCAACATGGCTCGCTACCATATCTGTGTTCCAAGCAATAGGATAGAGACAGCAATGGAGGAAAAATATTCCTGCCTGTTAAAGACACAGGAAGAAGTTGCACACATCCCTTCTGCTCTCATCCCGTTGTTCAGAATGTAGTTACATGACTACACCTCGCTGGAAGGGCGGATGGAAATGCAGTCTTCTTTCTGGTTGAGCATGTGCCCAGCACAAAAGTTGGGGTTTCCATTCCTATGACAGAGAAGGGGAAAACAGATTTAGGGGAATGGTACATCTCTGCTACACAGATATTGAAGTGTAGAAGGAAGTCCTTTTTTTCCTGAGTAGGTATGGTGAGTGGTTAACTGATGGCCTGTGAAGTCAGATAGAAATGGATAAAAATTCTGGTTCTGCTACTTATAGTTATGTGACTTTGAACAAATTATTTAAGTTATTATAACCTCAGTTTCTAAATCTATAAAATAGGGATATGAATAACTATGTCACAGGTGTTGTGAGGATTAAATAAAAATATATGTGCATGTGCCTTACAAAATTTGTAGTTGATGAGTGGAAATAGTATTAACTACATTTGGCTAAAGTGATAGAAAACTTGAAACAACAATGGCTTAATGTTTATTTCTTTCTTATGTAAATAAAAGCTGGAGACAAGCAGTCCAGGGCTAGTATAGTAACAACACAAAGTCATTAGGGATCCAGCCATTTGTGACAACATGGATGGACATTGAGGGCATTATGCAAAGTGAAATAAGTCAGAGGGAGAAGGTCAAATACCGTATGATTTCCTTCATTAAGCAGTAGATAATAACAACAATAAACAAACACATAGGGACAGAGATTGGATTGGTGGTTACCAGAGGGGAAGCGGGGAGGGAGGAGGGTGAACAGGATAATTCAGCACATGTGTGTGGTGATGGGTTGTAATTAGTATTTGGGTGGTGAACATGATGTAATCTATGCAGAAATAGAAGTATAATGATGTACACCTGAAATTTATACAATGTTATAAACCAATGTTACTGCAACAAACAAAAAATTAAAAATAAATAAATAAATAAATAAAATAAAATCCCCTTGACTGGGCCGGCCCCGTGGCTTAGCGGTTAAGTGCTTGCGCTCCGCTATTGGCGGCCCGGGTTCGGATCCTGGGCGCGCACCGACGCACCGGCTTGTCTGGCCATGCTGAGGCCGCGTCCCACATACAGCAACTAGAAGGATGTGCAACTATGACATACAACTATCTACTGGGGCTTTGGGGAAAAAAAGGAGGAGGATTGGCAATAGATGTTAGCTCAGAGCCGGTCTTCCTCAGCAAAAAAGAGGAGGATTAGCATGGATGTTAGCTCAGGGCTAATCTTCCTCACAAAAAAAAAAATAAAATCCCCTCAACTTCCCCATAATCTCAATCCTTTCATGTTCTTGATGGAGTGGGAACGGCCCAAGGGACCTAAAACCAGCTCTCAGTATTTCGTTTGTCAATTCCACATCTGTCACTTCATTTTTTTTTTCAACTCAAACATTCTGTTCAGCTGCATCTACGTCTGGAGGTAGAGATGGCAAGTCACGATGGAGCAGATCGTGTCATGGGAAGAATCACGTTTTAATTATGCAAACATGGGAGAAGTAGGAACTTTGGGAAAGAATGCTAAAGAGCAGTTTATTTTCTGTAGTTTAGCAAAGGCTAACTTCCCAACAGTTGGTCTGCAAAGCTCTGGGAAGGTGGTGTAGCAACTTGTAAAGTCCAGGGACCACTTGGGAGGGAAACACAGAGAGCCAGGGGCTCTGGAGTCAGATTTCTGGATTTAGCCCTGGTACAGTTTTAGCATCACGTGCCTCGGTTTTCTTATCTGTACAGTAAATGAGGGTGCTATCTCACAGGGGAGTGAGGGCTAATCAATTAATTCATGTAAAACAATAAATGAGGATGCTATCTCATAGGAGTGGCCTGAGAGTTAATCAATTAATTCATGTAAATACCCAGAGTAGCACCTATTTGGAAAGGGCTCAATACATATTAACACTAATATTCTCCTTTAGAATCAAAGTCAGGGATGCCTCTTGGAGCAGATAACAGCCTTAAAATAAAGTTATCTGAGGGTCGAAAGGGGTGGGACTGATGGTCCGGCCCTCACTGTGAGTTGGCCCTGAGGAGAGAAGGAGCTGGTGATTAGTCCATTCACATTTCGTGGCCTTTCACTCTCTATTCCCAGGGCTGGAACTGCCCAGAAGTCATTAGCACTTGTCCAAAGCTAGAGAGTAACTTCTGTTCTATTCTGTTCCATCTGGATTCCTCTTCAAATATCATTCAGGTCCTGCTGACCCTCTCTGAGTGTCTTTTTTTGTTCTTGCCCTAAGCCAGTCCCCAAGAGACAGGGCTTTCCTGTATCCTGTATGTCCTTAGGTCTATGTGCAGGAAGTTCTCATTCTTTGATTATGCAGTTGCAGAGTTCCCTTTGTGAACCAGACCTTTTATCATTGATATCCTTACGGACATCGTGTCCCTCAGTTTTCACTGTGGCACTCAGGCACCCCAGGAATAGCTGCTCTCTCTTTTTACCCGATGCCACAGGTCTGCTCTGTGGCCTGACCCTCTCTTTCCTATGATGAGAATTGTTTCCGCTTGTGTCTACATTCCCACCATGATGACTCTGAGTCAGTGAGAGGGACCATACTCAGTCCCTTTGGCAAAAAAGAGTATCTTCCTGATTAAGTTCACGCTGAAAAGAGGTGCCGCCTTCCCCTCCCCTGTCCTTCCTCAACAGGTAAGGTAACAGGTAGGATAGCACTTCCTGTAAAATGGCATTCAGTGCTGCCTCGCCCACAGCAAGCGTCAGGTTTTTCCTGTTCCAGCATTTCTCAACCACAGGCCGCGTTTCTCCTCCTTTCCTTTAGCATCTGTGGAACAACAGGAAAGTGAATGAAGGCTTGCTTTCCCGTGAGAGAGGTGTCCTTTCCCATCCCGATCTAAAAGACACAAGGCTCGTAGAGGAAACAGTGACCTAGCTTAGTATTTCTCAAATTATCTGTGGTGAAGGACCAGGTTTCATAAATTTCCAATTTGGCACAGATCAAAACATTTGTAAAATAAATATGAATTACTAAGAAAATGAAATACAAACAAAAAATACAAGCCCACTGATCATATGCTTGAATGTCATAGTAACATCAAATTGCTATAAACATTTCTAAGGGCTTACTCTCAGGTTCTGTGCTTATCTTGTCACGGGCCAGGAGCAAACCGTTCACAGACGAGTGTTTGTCGTGGACGCCAGCGAGGAGCACTGACCCGGATGCCAAAGTGCTGCTCAGAGAGGACCTACAGTTTCATTCCAGCATCTGTATCTTTTCTGGACGTTTTCAGATTGTTTCCGCCATGAGGTGCAAAATGAGAAAGGAGCATGAGAAGCAGGTGGAGAACGGAAAAGCCAACCAGACGGGCTCTGCAGGGAGACCCTGCCCGTGGTTTCTCCCCCAGAGCCACTCTCTCCCCTCTTCTCCCCTTCGCCTCAGCTCGCACAAGGCCCACAGAGCCGGCCGCTCCTCCAGCGTCCCCTGCAGCGTCCCCCTGGACCCCAAGGAGCTCTCGCGGCAGGTGCGGCGCTCTGTGGACCTGGAGCTCGAGAGGTGCCGGCAGCAAGCAGGCTTCCCAGTGATGGAGGAGCAGAAGGGGGAGCCCCTGCTCTTCTCATCAGAAGCAGACTCAGAGGCTGGGGAGCTGCTGCAGCCCACTCAGGAGGAGTGGAGGCAGGTGGGTTGTGGCGGGTGCTGCTTCCTAGGATGTGCCGCCATCAGGAGGGACCCAGGATTTTAAAAAACACGTCAAATCTCCTCCTTCCATATAAATTCAGGGTTTTTTTTGCCCCTCTTTCTCTCTCTCCCTGGGGTTAGAACCTCCCAGAAAGATATTAGTTTTTGCCTAATGGCATCTATTTTAGAGTTTTATAAAGGATGGGAAGATGTAGCAGGTGGGTTCTATTGCCTGAATAAATTTGGTTTAGAGACCTAGCATCTTTGGGGTAGGAAGGTAGGCCACGATTTATTGGATGCTATTATATGTTTGTTTTTTGTTTGTTTTAATGTATCAGAAAGATGGCTGCCGTAGCTCAAGGCCAAAAGGGCTACCTCGGCAGCTTCTGTCCTCTTCTGTTCTCAGGCAACTAAAGGCTTTTCCAGAATCCAGAACTGTGTCACATGGCCCACCTAGCTGCAAGGGAGACTGGGAAAGCAAGGATTTAGGCACATTGCCACCTCAAACATGCAATCAGAGTTCTGTTAGCAAGGAAGAAGAAGGAGAACAGATACTGAGTAGGGACGCACAGAGCTTGCCGAATGGATGGCACATTTCATGGGGGCAAAACTGTGGCAGAGAGGCCCCTTAAAAGACAGTTGTAATCCAAGTGCGAGGTGATGATGATCTTATGTAGTAGTGTTAAGAGAACTACGTGAACTTGCTGGTATTCAACCATTTTGACCTATAAAAATGGCAATTTCTTATGGTTCATCCAATAAAGAAAAGGAAAGAATTCAGAATTATTTAAGAGCTAAAACTAGCAGAACTTGCTGATTGATTGGGTGGTGGGTGGTGAGGAATAGGCAGAGATACCACTAACTCTGAGGCTGGAAACTTCAGGTAGGTGGGTGGTGAGCTTAGTTCTCCCTGAGTTATCCATCTGGGCTTCAACATCAACTTAGAATCGACAGTTTAAAGTGCAAGTCTCTCCTTTTGCAAAATGTGACTCAATAATAATGTGCTGATATTTATAAATCAAATACACTTTTTTCCTTAAAAGTACATTTAGAAAGTATTAGGTGTCAACAACCAAAATACACCCAGTTATTTCAGATGAGTTTGTGAGCCTGGCAGTCAGTGTTTTCCTGAGGAGTAACAATAGAGTAAGATATGAATTGCTAGGAAAATTGTTCAGCTTCTCTGCAAATTCTTTAAAAAAATTCTAAAATTACTTTAAGAAATAAAATGTCTGGGGCTTTGTGAAAGCTGCACGAGACACTATCTTGTCAGTCCTGGGACTCGTGCCTCATCTTTGGGCAGACGTCTGGGAGCCTAGACCACTGGCGCTGACTGAAGAGAACTGGCTGTGATGAAAGCTCCTACCAGAGCAGCTCCCCTTTTATCTGCTTTATATATTGAGTTTTCACATAGATTTATTTTCCAAAAAGTAGGTATATACTTGTCCAACAATATGCGCTTACACCTGCTCATTTTGTGAGTAATAAAAAATTCTGGAATCTCAGGAGTCCAAAATATATTTGTATGTCAAATATTGATTGCATGGAAGTTTATTCACTTATTTTTATTTAAACATTTTAATCTTCCTCTTCCTCTCTTCATAGGAATGACTCTGAATGAATATCTGTCTAGTTTTTAGGAAAGAAACCATCTCTTGGTCTCTCCAGGTTGTAGACATACTGTGGAGTGATCCCATGGTCCAGGAGGGCTGCAAGGCCAACACTGTTCGAGGAGGAGGCTGCTATTTTGGGCCTAACGTGACAGAACAGTTGCTACAGAAGTACAACCTGCAGTTCCTGATCCGCTCACACGAGTGCAAAGCTGAAGGCTATGAATTCTGCCACAGCCGCAAGGTGGGGGGACCCTCTGCAGCGGCACAGGGTGGTCCGTATTGCTCCTCCCAGGCCTGGATGGGCCTCTTAGCCCATCTGTGCCTTGTATTTGCTATCCACTTGCTCAAAGCAACTAGGTCCTTTACAGTCATTAATTCTTCACTTTCGTAGCCTCTTTAAAACTCAAAATTTGATTGAGGCCACTGCTAACTAGTACCCTGAGAGAAGAGTAAGGGGCAGATATGGTCCCATTTTATGGATGGAAATATGGCCCTGTGTTTTCCCAGCCATGTCTCTGTTCTTTAAGTCATGTTGCTCACTGTCACATATTGCAAATAACACTAGAAGGTAACAGGATTTCTGCACTGTGCCCCAGGCAGGGATTCAAGATTTTTTGTCTTCTCAGGAGCTTAATTAATGTCCCGATTAATCTTTGGGCATCTCCAAATCCTACAATGTTTGCCTAGCCTAATGCCACTAGGATAAGACTATTCCTAGGAACACTAACTCTACAGGAGAATAGCAGGTTTCCATGCAAAAAAAAAAAAAACACAAAAAGATTGAGACCAACTAATGTAAGAAATGTTTTGTTAAACAGTTATACAAGTTTCCTTATTGTAGGACTTCTGAGAACCTTTAATTTCCTACATTCATTGTAAATTTCCAAGAAAAGCTACAGTGTCTAGCATTTCCCAATGTACTGACAATGGAAACTTTGTTCACAGAGCATCTCAGGAGGCACAACACTGTAGGAAACTGCTCTGAGGCCTCACACCAGCTTTAGTAACTGATTTGCCTGTGAGTCATAATGGCCATCCCTTTTTATTAGACCTAGTTTGCCTCTAAGTTGAACCAAATCAAGTGTTTTGTGTGACCCTGGCTATTTTGACTTGGGATAAAAATGTGGAGAAAACATATTGTGGATGTCCTATCAGAATTCAAGTTTTTTTTTTTAATTTTTTTTTTGTGAGGAGGATCGGCCCTGAGCTAACATCTGCCAATCCTCCTCTTTTCTTTTTTTTTGCTGAGGAAGACTGGCCCTGGGCTAACATCTATGCCCATCTTCCTCCACTTTATATGGGATGCCGCCACAGCATGGCCTGACAAGCGGTGCGTCGGTGCGCACCGGGATCTGAACCAGCGAACCCCGGGCCGCCGCAGCAGAGCACGCGCACTTAACCACTTGCGCCACCGGGCCAGCCCCTAGAATTCAAGTTTTTATTACTTGAGTCACTACTCCTGCGTTACTAGCATTAATGACTTTCAAAAAAGATCCACAGGTAATGTCAAGGAGGAATAGCAGCCCCTGAAATTGGGGTGGGCCCTGTAGGATGGAGGGTGAAGAGTTCGTCAGTGAACCTGAATGCCTGTCTCTCTCTTCTGTTTTGATTTAGGTGTTAACCATCTTTTCTGCCTCCAACTACTATGAAGTTGGCAGTAACCGAGGGGCCTATGTCAAACTGGGGCCGGACCTGACCCCGCACATTGTGCAGTATCAAGCTAACGAGGCGACCCACACGCTAACTATGAGGCAAAGGCAAGATTTTTCAAAGAATGATTTTACGAAAAACAGAATTATAGTATTTATAGGACCTTTGATGTGGCAAATGTCATTACATTTATCCAAATTCTAAGTGAGAATTCAGAATTTAGCTATGTCAGAAGTGAGGTCTAGAATAGACGCTATAGCAGGGGTCTCTTCCTTCTCCACACACTCTAAAATCTCTACCTACCCATCATTAATGAAAGCAACAAATTCATTTCCTGCAGAAGTTATTCTCAATGGGCGCATCTTCTATAAAGTCCATATACTAGGCCACTAAGTCTTTTAAGGGTCCCTCCTCTGTTTTCTCTCATCATTAAAGGGTGTGTGTTACCCGTAAACCACAGTCAAAGGTTCTTTCACTATCTGGGGATTTGGCAGATGGATTTCAGTGCACACATTTGTTAACAAGGCCCTATCTTCCTGGGAAGGAAGAGTATAATATTACTTAAATGGCTTCTGTTGAGACAATTCTAGTTCTAACCTTAGTCAAGAGCTTACCACACACTAAATGTTATTATAAAGAATTTGTGTATAGTGTCTCACAATGAGTTCATGAAATACCCCGTGTTACTAATTTCAGTTTTATAGATGAGATCCTTAGGAACAGAGTTAAATCAGCTGGCTCATGGTGACACTGCTAATAAGTGGTGAAGGCAGGCCTTGACCCGGGCAGTCTTATTTCAGAACTCGCACACTTCACGACTCTACCATACTACCTCCCACGGAAAAGAGGGCCCCAGAGTATACAAGCTGCTAACAGATTCAGTTTTAGTGCTATTGGGCAAGGTTCTTTAATCATCAGATGAACTAAATTAGAAATCAAAACAAAGTTAGTGTAAATCCAGTGAAAAGAGAGCATATTAATATTGAACATCTGCTTTGTGTGAGAGCTATAAAAGTGCATTATTTTAAATCACTCTTGAGTTATTAAACACTCAAGTTATTAAAAAATCAAGGCCAGCATCACCCAAAAAGAAATATTATGTAAAAGCTACCATGCAGCAGAATCATCTGTGGAGCTTTATAAAAAATCAGCCATCTCAGCCTCACCCCACTCCTATCAAATTAGAGTCTCCAGGGGTGGGCCCCAGGCACCTGAATGCCATGACTCCATATGATTTAGGTGTGGTCACTACAAAAGGAATTACTGTAGGGAATCCTATAAATAATACATTGTAATAACATAATTAAGGAGCACTCAGCTCTTAGAAATATTCATTGATTGCATTAAAGCAAGTACAACATCACCTAATTTACCTAGAAGTCACTTGTCCAACAACCTCAACTATTTGGAGCACAATGGAGAGCTTAGAAATAAGAGGGGAAGTGTCTCCAACCAACTGTAATTGATGTCTCAATGTCCATAAATTCAAGATCTCATGTTTTTCTTAGAGGTACCCTTGGTCAGAATCCATTTACTTTCGGTTTAAATCCACATCTCACAGTAGTAGTTTACTGGAGTCCACCTGTCAAGATTGATTCCTGGCCTCACCCCTTATTAGCTCTGTGACTTTGGGTTAGTTACTTACTCTGTAATGGGCATAATAGTCATTCCTACCTCAGTCGGTGTTGGAGGATTAATGAGATGATCCATGCAGAGCTCTGCATTTAGTAAGTGCTCAATATGTGCTGCTTGATGCAGGGACAGAGAGCCGTGTACACCCAGATAGCTCCCAAGAGTGTCACCATACTACATCCCTGCATGATAACGATCAATGACTACAATTTACCAGGAAATAGTTTAAATGCTTTGCCAAACTAGTGGTTCTTAAACTTTTTGGGAGTACCATACTTCTTTTAGCCTCTGATAAAACAATAAACTCCGGAAAAAGTACATGTACTCGCAAACCCATGAAGTTTGCGCTGAGTTTTAGGGGGTTCGCATTTACCTAGGAGTCTAGAGAGCCCACTTAAGGACTATTACGGTAAACACCTTAAACTGCAAGGAATATTTTCATCCAACATGGTTAAAATGGTGGTGTTTTCATTGTTGTTGTTTTAGCCCTTGACAAGACAGGTTGTCTGGTCATTATTTATAGAATGGCTGGTTCCTCAATGAGACAGGACAAAGTACGTATTTACCTCTTATCTCTTTTTATATTCTTCATTCAACTACAGATATTTATCAAACACTGAATTTGGGCCAAGTGCTGTGCCAGCATTACTCTATTTGACCCAATAAGAATAAGAAAACTAAATTAGTGTTATTTTGTTATTTATAAATCTTGCCTTGTGACTGTTTAACATAATACTAAATTAAAGGAAACGTATGATTGTGATAACAGAAATCATTTGTTGAGTGCTTTCTAGGTGCCAGGCTTTCTTCTAAGTGCTTTACATAAATTTTCTTATTTAATCTTTACAATAATCCTATGACATAGGTACCATTTTAATCCTTATTTTGCAGATGAGGAAATTGAGATACAGCTCAGTTAGATAATTTTGCCACAAATGTGGTCTTTCTCGGGGCCAACCCCGTGGTGTAGTGGTTAAGTGTGTGTGCTCTGCTGCTGGCGGCCCGGGTTCGGACCCTGGGCGCGCACCGACGCACCGCTTGTCAGGCCATGCTGTGGCGGCATCCCACATAAAGTGGAGGAAGATCGGCACGGATGTTAGCTCAGGGCCAGTCTTCTTCAGCAAAAATAGGAGGATTGGCATGGATGTTAGCTCAGGGCTGATCTTCCTCACAAAAAAAAAAACAAAAAAAACCAAAAAAAGGTGGTCTTTCTCTAGAACTTCTTCTCTATCCACTATCCTGTACTGGGAAGGACAGCAGCATTCCCCAAACAGACCCCATTTGTGCACAACAGAGAGAAGTGGGCGAGCACTGGGGAGAAATAAGAGATGGAGTTTTCCCTCAAAAACTGAGCTCTTGGGAGGTTGAGACATTAAGGAAGAGAGAAGAGAAATGTAGTAAAAACCCATGACTATTTATTCTCTACTAATTTTTAAAAATGTTCCTTTTCATTTCCTGTCCCAGGATTAGCAGAGTAGAGGAGTCAGCTCTGAGATCTCTGCGGGAAAAGTTATTTGCTCATTCCTCAGATCTTCTTGGTGAATTTAAGAAGCATGATAAGGATAAAACTGGTAAGACTAGGCAGGTAAAATATTCATAGAGGAAGGAAGCTGGCCAGAAATTCTGTCTCACACTAGTTAGCAAATAAATATTTGCTGAATGCATGAATGACCAAAAGACCTCTTTGACTACTTCTTCCATTTTATTCAACTTAATGTCCCAGTTATCTTTTTAAATTTTTAAATTCCAAGCTTTTAACAGAATATGAACTTGGTAAACATAGATGGAGATGGTGAAAAGAAATGGAGTCAAGGGAAGGGTGACAAGACCGGAACAAAGCAAAAAGAAAGCAACAGGTAGGGCAGGTTACAAGAGCGTATCCAAGATTAGCAAAACACCAATGATTTGGCTTCTTGTTGTTGTTGAGTGAGTGGCTTATCTGTTCCGTGTTCTATCATCCAAGCTAGAAACTTTGTCTTTTCTCAACCCAGTGGAATGTCTACTGGACATTGACTACATGTAGCCCTATTTAAAAATAGCAATAACAGTCATAAAATCATATCAATAACTTTTCATACACATATAAACAACCAATGCTGTATATGTATACTGTTTCATGATATTATTTATGAGTCTTGTATGACTTCCAGTAGTATTGCCAGATTTAGCAAATAAAAACAGGATGCCTAATTAAATTTGAATTATAGACAGACAACAAATAATTTTTAAATGTAAGTATGTCCCATGCAATATTTGGGACTTAACTTATACTTCATGGTCTGTCTGAAATTCAAATTTAACTGAGCATCCTGTATTTTATCTGGCAACTCTGCTTTCCAGCCAGCTCTACCATGACAAATAAAAATAGGGACAGTGCCCATTATTTCTATTACCTACAGATAGTGAGAGGAATGTCAGGATAAGAAGGTATGCACTGTTGGGGAGGAAACTAGACTTATAGGTGACAAGTCAACAAGCGAGCTCTTTCCTGTAGGTTTGATCCCCCTGAGTGACTGGGCAGCTGCCGTGGAGTCTGTGTTGCATCTGGGACTGCCATGGCGGATGTTGAGGCCGCAGCTGGTGAACAGCTCAACAGATAACGTGCTGGAGTACAAGTCCTGGCTGGAGGACTTGGCCAAAGAACAACCGAGCCATGAGGTAATGGTGTGAAAATGGTGGGTGAGGGCAAATTGTGGATCATGAAGCTCCTTAAGGAGAACTTTGAATCAGAAACAACCAAATATTGAGAACCCAAAAGGGAAGAATGAGAAAAGGGAACAACTATTTATAGAGTTCCTATTTGTCAGACTTTGTGTTAAGTGATTTACATACGTTGTTTCAGTTTATGCTTAAAATCACCCCAAGAGGTAGGTATTAACAGCACCATTATACCCATGAAGACATTGCTCACAGAGGTTAAGTGACCTGCCTGGAATTATAGAGCTTCTAAGTTATAGAACTAGGACTCAAACCCAGGTCTGTCTGACTTCGTTGACACCATGCTTCTTTCTCCACTGAAAAAGGTATTTATTCAAGAAATACTTATTGAATGTATAATGTATGTGAAGCCTGGGGCTAGGTGCTTTTCTCTAAAAACAGCTTTATTGCAATATAATTAATATACCATATAATTCACCTATTTAAAGTGTACAATTCAGTGGTTTTTAATGTATTTGAGATATGTGCAGCCATCACCACAGTCAGTTTTAGAACATTCTCATCATGGGCTAGGTATTTCTTTTTTTGTGTGTGAGGAAGATCAGCACTGAGCTAACATCCATGCTAATCCTCCTCTTTTTGCTGAGGAAGACTGGCTCTGAGCTAACATAGCTATTTCTTAAACCATTAGATTATTTGGTAGGCTGAAGGGGGATGGGGGTGGAGGGATGGTAAAACATCCTCAGGTTTTTTCAAGACTGTTTATTGTCGGGATTGATTGTGTGTTAGTTATATATTAGGACAAGCCTAAACATAAGATATAGAGGGAAAATGAGTTTTTTTCTTGCAGAACATACAGTCAAGTTTGCTGGAAACACTGTATCGAAACCGATCCAACCTGGAGACCATTTTTAGGATCATAGACAGTGATCACTCAGGTAAAGCCACTCATTATCCTATCACCTCTGACACATAGTGAGTATTTTACCTCCCATCCTTTGGTCTCCTCCCTGATTATTTAGCTCTTTACTCAAGCACTTTGAGAGGAAAGCAAGTAATGGCAATGCTTATAAATTGTGGAAACTAGAAAAGTACTTGAGCAACACCAGTAGTCTGTATAGAAGAGGGTTGGGCAGAGAAAAGTGAAGATAAACTGAAAGAGAACTTTTTACAGGAAGAATAATTATTAGTAGATGTGATATTCTTTATAGTTCTATCAAAGATAGACACAAAGTAACAAAGAATGCCTAGAACAGAAAGGCTTTTTCAATTTTACTCCCAAAGTATTTTTAAAAAAACCCTTTTATTTTGAAATAATTATAGAGTCACAGAAAGTCACAAAAAATGTGCAGAGAGGTCCTATATACCCTCACTCTGTTCCCTCAGTGCTCCAAAGTCCTTTTCAATGTTATTACTCTCTTATTTTCTTGAGGTATAATCACATACCATATAATTTACCCATTTAAAACGTTCATTCCGTTCAGTGGTTTTTAGTATATTCGCAAGGATGTGTAACCATCATCTCTATCTAATTTTAGAACATTTCCATCACCCTAAAAAGAAACCCATACCCATTAGTAGTCACTCCCCATTCCCTGTCCCTTCTCCACCAGCCCCTGGCAACCATTAATCTGTTTTCTGTCTCTATGGATTTCCCTATTCTGTACATTTTATATAAATGGAATTATATGATATATGGCTTTGGTGTCTGGCTTCTTTGACTTAGCATAATGTTTTCAAGGGTTATCCATGTTGTAGCATGTATCAGTTTTTTATTCCTTTTTATAGTGGGTAATATTCCATTGTGTGGTTAAACCACATTTGTTTATCTGTTCATTAGTTGATAGACATTTGGATTGTTTCCACTTTTTGCCTATTATGAATAATGCTGCTATGAACGTCATGTACAACTTTTTGTGTGAACACATGTTTTCAGTTCTCTTGGATGTATTCCTAGGAGTGCAATTTCTGGATCATATGGTAAAACTATGTTTAACTTTTGAGGAACAGCCAAACTGTTTTCCACAGTGGCTAGACCATTTTACATCTCTACCACCAATGTATGAGGGTTCCAATTTCTCCACATCCTCATCGAAACTTATTGGTTTTCCTTTTTTTAAAATAGCTATCCTACTGGATGTGAAGTATCTCATTATGGTTTTGAAGGAAATTTGGTTTAAGGAAATTTGCATTTCCTTAATAACTAGTGATGTTGAGTATCTTTCATTTGCTTATTTGAAATTTTTATATCTTCTTTAGAGAAATGTCTATTCAAACCCTTTGTCCATCTTTTAATTGGGTTATGTGTCTTTTTATCGTTGAGTTGTAAGAGTTCTTTATATATTCTGGATACTAGACCATTATCAGATATATGATTTGCAAATATTTTCTCTGATTTTATGAATTGTTTTTTCACTTTCTTCGTAGTGTCCTTTGATGCACAAAAGTTTTTAGTTTAGGAAATTCCATTTTATCTTTTTTCTTTTGTTGTTTGTGCTTTTGGTGTCGTATCTAAAAAAGATATAAATAAATAAATAAGGGCCCTCAAAAAAGAGGAAGATTGGCAATAGATGTTAGCTCAGGGCGAAACTTCCTCAGCAAAAATAAATAAATAAATAAGTTATATAATCCAAGGTCACAAAGATTTACACCTATGTATTCTTCTGAGAGTTTTCCAGTTCTAGCTCTTACAGTTAGGTCTTTGATCCATTTTGAACTAGTTTTTGTTTGTAGTGCAAGGTAGGGGTCTAGTTTTGTTCTTTTGCATGGGGATATCCAGTTGTTCCCTACTATCCGTTGAAAAAACTATTCTTTCCCCATTGAATGGTCTTGGAACCCTTGTAAAAAAATCAATTGACCATAGATGTATAGGTCCAAAGGCTTCTTATAAGCAGAATATATTAGTGTATGTTTGGGATGATTTAATGTAGGGTTTCTCAACAGTGGTGTTATTGACATTTTGGCCTGAATAATTCTTTGTTTTGGAGTCCATCCCATGTATTATAGATGTTCAGCAGCATCCTTGGTCTTTACCTACTAGATGCCTGTAACACCCCCCAGCCCCACTTTGATTTGTCATGACAATCAAAAATGTCTCCGGACATTGCCAAATGTCCCCCAGAGATAGGGGAGCAAAATTGCTCCCAACTGGGAACCACTAGTGATCCAGTGGCTTTGTGCCATTCCCTTGGGGGTTTAAACTAGATACTAGGCTTTGGGTCCCTTTGTCTGTTTAACAGTAGGGAGCAGGTGTCCTTGCAAGAATGACAGAGGAAATGAACATCGAAAACTAGACTGACTCACTGAAGTGACTTCCTCTCTCTGGTAAGGGTTCATCTCACTGGATGAATTCAGGCAGACTTGGAAGCTGTTCAGCTCTCATATGAAGATTGACATCACAGACGACTGTATCTGTGACCTTGCTCGGAGCATTGACTTCAACAAGGATGGCCACATCGACATCAATGAGTTCCTGGAGGCCTTCCGCCTTGTGGAGCAATCCTGCTCAGAGGGCAATGCCTCAGATTACCCACAAGCCACAGACACTAACAGTGGCTACAGCAGGCCAGATGCACACTAAGGACAGCCTGGTCTCCATCGTCCAAGGTGCCTCAGAAGCAATGCCGAGCTCGTCGTTGGAATATCTCCCTCATTCTTCATAGATTTGTGGATCTTTATGCTAAGCATTTGCCTACAAATATGCATCACGCTCACCTGTGTATTTGGGAGTACGGGGTGGGGTTAGTGTGTGTGTGTTTGTGTGTGCATGTATTTTTAAATCTATAGACATCCTAGCCTCATCTCAGAATTTTCACAACGTAGGGTCCAGGCATAAGTATTTTTTAATTCTGAAGTCAACCCCAGTTATGAATCACTGATAATTCAACCCCTCATTGTTTTCATTTTATATCTTTTATTTATTGTTTTTAAAATGTCATATTAGTAAAGGAAAATTATGAAAAATTATTTATGTAATCCCATGACCCAAATGTATAGATTCTTTTCATTATTTACTTTTTCTTGTTATAAATATAGTGTTTATATAATTTAATGTTCTGCATTTTTTTAAATAAATTCATATCTAATTGTAAACACTTTCCTATGTTGCTACATAGTCTTCATGATTATTAGTTTAATGGCTGCATAATTTTCTTTCAGATGGGTGCACTCTAATCTCTTCAGCCATTCTCCAATTGTTAAACATATGTATTATTTCTAGTTTTTCGTTATTATATATAATACTGTGGTTAATAACTTTGTGCATATAACTTGTTTTACAGAAATCATTTAAATTACACATTTTTAGGATAAAATCCCAGGAATGGGATTACTTTGTCAAAGGGTGTTGTATTAGTCCATAAAAAGATTTACTATAAGGAATTGGCTCACTTGACTATGGAGGCTGAGGAGTCCAAGATATTTAGTCAGCAAGCTGGAGACCTAGGAGAGCTGATGCTTTGGTTCCGGTCTGAGTCTGAATCCAAAGGCAGAAGATGATGTCCCAGCTCAAAGACAGTCAAGCCGAGAGAGAGAATTCTTTCTTACTCAGCCTTTTTGTTCTATTCAGGCCTTCAATAAATTGGATGAGACCCTCTCACATTGAGGAGGGCAATCTGCTTTACTCAGTCTACCAATTCAAATGTTAATCTCATCCAGAAACACCCTTACAGATGTACCCAGAAACAATGTTTAGCCAATTATCTGGGCACTCCATGACCAAGTTGGCACATAAAATTAACCAATACAGGGGTGAGCTTTGTTTTTTTTGCTAAGGAAGATTCACCCTGAGCACTAACGTCTGTTGCCAATCTTCCTCTTTTTTTTTTCCTGCTTCAGGAAGATTCGCCCTGAGCTAACATCTGTGACAATCTTCCTCTATTTTGTGTGTGGGTCACCACTACAGCATGGCCACTGATGAGTGGTGTAGGTCCATGCCCAGGAACTGAACCTGGGCTGCTGAAATGGAGTATGCTGAACTTAACCACTAGGCCATGAGGACTATATCATCTGTTTGGTTTGACTATAAGCAAGCCCTGGTTCCCCACCCTCTTTCCTTGTGTGGCAAACAGACCCTAACGTGACCCCCACCTCCAATGATTTCCTGCCTTCTGGTATTCACGCCTTTGCGGGCAGGCAGGACCTGTGACTTGCTTCCAACCAATAGAATGTGGCAAAGGTGATAGCATGTTACTCCTGTGATTATATCACATTATATAAAATTACACATAAGTAGACTGGAACAAGAGATTCTCCTTGCTGGCTTGATGAAGCAGGCAGCCATGCTGAGGAAACGCACATGGCAAGGAACTTGGAGTGGCCTCTAGGATTTATAGATGGCTTCCAACTGATGGCTACAAAAATCCAGGGCCTTCAATCCTACAGCTACAAGAAAATAAATTTTGCAAGTAACCTGAATTAGCTTGGAAGCAGATTCTTTCAGATGTAGTTGAGCCTCCAGATGAGAACACAGCCTGGCCAACACCTGACTGCAGGCTTGTGAGATCCTGAGCTCAGGATCCAGCAAAGCTGTGCCCAGACTCCTGACTTACAAAAACTATGAGATAATAAAGGTATGTTGTTGGGCCGCCCCATGGCTTAGCGGTTAAGGGCGTGCGCTCCACTGCTGGCAGCCCGGGTTTGGATCCCGGGTGCACACTGACGCACCGCTTCTCCGGCCATGCTGAGGCCGTGTCCCACACACAGAAACTAGAAGGATGTGCAACTATGACATACAGCTATCTACTGGAGCTTTGGGGAATAAACGGGAAAAAAAGGGAGGAGGATGGGCAATAGATGTTAGCTCAGAGCCGGTCTTCCTCAGCAAAAAGAGGAGGATTAGCACGGATGTTAGCTCAGGGCTGATCTTCCTCACAAAAAAAAAAAAAAGCTGTGTTGTTTTAAGTCACTAAGTTTGTGGTCATTTGTTACACAGTATAGAAAATGAACACACCTTGCTTCTTGGAAAACTTTGTATTTTCTTATTCCACTACCCCTAAAAAAATCTGGATTTCCATCAATGGGTACAATCCAGAGACGAGTCAAAGTATTTTATGAATACATATGACCTATGGGTTTATCTTGCCTGATTTAGTAACTGAGAGACCAAGGATACTAGTGAATTCACATTTGTATCTGTCTGCCATGTCTTGTGCCAACAGCTCAAACTCAACAAATAAAGTGCTTGTTTTCACGATGTCCCCCACTTCATTGTGATCAAAGGTAAACAAGTATTCTGGGGCTTGAAAAGAATAAGACAACTGTTCATAGACAATGAGTGAGACCCCTGGGGATTTACTCATGTATCAGGATATATTATGGAAAGCAGCCCATGAAGACCATCTCTCTCCAACTGAAGGCAAGGGTGGGGCTTATAAAGGCAAAGGCATAAAGTTTCACGAGGTAAAGTGATGGGTCAGTCTAAACAAGTCCTTGGCTGGTCAATTCGGGATTGGTTGGTTGTAGTGGAGCTTGGAGGTCGATTGCTGAATTCCCAGTTCCTTTCTTAAGTCTAGATAGCACAGTCAGAAATTCACACCAGGCTGTTCTGCTCGCTCTGACCAGTTTTCTGGGAAGTGGTTGTTCTGCTTGCTTGTTCTTCAGGGCCCCTGTTTGCCATCTGACACCCTTCAGGCTCAGTGTCCTGCAGCGGGCAAGTCCCATGCACACACTCAAGGCTCAGAGAAAATTCCTTTATCGACTAGCATAGTGAATTAATAGGGGGTTAGCTTCAAGGGAGTTTTAGTTTAAAAATTGTGCTGGGAAGAAATAGCAAAATCATGCCTCTAATCCGGTGATTTAGCCTTAACTGCTAATTAAAATCATCTGGGGAGCTTTTGCAACATAGGATGCTTGTGGACCCATTCCAGACCGATTAAATCAAAATCTCTGAGTGAGAGACCATGCTATTGATAGGTTTTAAATGCTCCCCAGGTGATTCTAATGTGCAGCCAGGCTCCAGTATTGCTGATCTAATTGATTTACCCTGCAGTAGTGAAGGGTGATTATTTGGTTAAGACTTGAACTGCTATTTGCACTGGTATAACTGTAAACATGAGAGGCCAATTCAGAAACCTAACGTTTTTAGATTTAGATGAGGACACTGCCAAATATCCCCAAAGAGTGTTAACAGACACAAGAAAGCCCGAGGTAGACAGATCAAACACACATACTTCTCCACTTGGATGTTTAATGGGCGTCTCAAAATGTGTTTCCAATATAAGCTCCTGATATGCCCCCCAAAGTCTGTTTCTCTCGTGATCTTTCTTATCTGATTTAATATCAGTTTCATTCTACCACTTGCCTTATGCAAAGAAAAAAAAAAAAGAAAGGGAAAAAACCCACTTGATCTCTCTTTTTCTCATTCCTGCATCTGGTCCCTCAGCAACTCTTGTTGACTCTACTTTCCAAACACATCCAAAATTGAACCCCTTCTTCCTCCTCCATTTCTACCTCCCTAGTCTAAGCCATATTATTTCTCATCAGTCTCCCCACTTCCCCCTGTACCTATGTTGCAGCAATTCTCAAAATTTTTGATCACAGTATCCTTTTACAGTGTTAAAAATTATTGAAGATCCCAAAGAACTTTTGCTTATATGGATTATATCTATTGATATTTACTGTATTAGAAATTGAAACTGAAAAATATTTAAGGTACTTATTAGTCACTTAAAAGTAAGAATATGCCTATTATATAGTAACATAAATAACATATATATATATATATTTTGTGTGTGTGAGGAAGACCAGCCCTGAGCTAACATCCGATGCCAATCCTCCTCTTTTTTTTGCTGAGGAAGACTGGCCCTGGGCTAATATCCCTGCCCATCTTCCTCTACTTTATATGGGATGCCGCCACAGCATGGCTTAACAAGTGGTGCGTTGGTGCACGCCCGGGATCTGAACCGGCGAACCCTGGGCTGCCGCAGGGGAGCGCGCACACTTAACCACTTGTGCCACTGGGCTGGCCCCATAAATAACATATTTTTAAACTTATAATTTTGAAATAATTATAGACTCACTAGAAGTTGAAAAATAATACAGAGAGATCCCATGTTCCCATCACCCATCTTCCCCCAGTGGTGACATCTTACTTAACTATAGTGCATTATCAAAACCAGGAAACTGATAATAAATAACATATTTTAAAGAAGATTAACTGTATATCCCAAAACAAAAATATTTACTGAGAAGAGTGGCAGAGTTTTACTTATTTGCAAATCGAATGTCTGGCTTAATAGAAGACAGCTGGATTTTCATATCTGCTTCTGCAGTCAATCTGCTATGATACGTTTGTTGGCTGAAGTACATGAGAAAATCCAGCCTCATATAGATACGGAGCTGAAAAAGGATAGAATATTTTAACAGCCTTTTCAGATAATTGTTAATATTCTGCTTTGATACTACATCAAAACTTGACAAATGGTACTTCTTAAAGGTTAGTAGAAATGGGGAATTTGAAACCACATCAATAAACTTTTCATGCTGTCAATACTGTACAGCCAAAGACCACCAGGAACACACCTATAATTGAACAACGTCAGGTTTTCTGACTGTTCCAGCCTGGCTGATGGCAGTCCCAGCTGATAACACATGGAACAGAAAAATCACTCAGC